ATTTAACAATTTTTTTTTAAAAAGGTTACCTCGTTGTGGTTTTCTTTATTTTTTAATTTTTGTTTTGTTTTCCTTTTTAGATACAGAGTCTTGCTCTGTCACACAAACTGGAATTCAGTGGCATGATATTAGCCTGTCTCTTATACACATCTAGATTGGCAGTCGCCCAACAGTGTGGTGAGCACGGGGGCACGGTAGGGCATGGGATTGGTTCTTTGACTTTTTCGGATGCTTTAAAAACTTGATCAGGACGTTTTGTTGTTCTAGAAAAAGCTGAGTTTGACTGATTGATTTTTGGCTTTTATTTTCTAATTTTCTATTTACTACATTGATAATTGGTATTTCAGTGGTGGGCACCATATCAACTTGGAAGTTATTACCTACCAAGTTTTGTTTGTAAAATAGACCCGATTTAATAATACTTCTGTGTCCAGGTGCTTTTGGACAAGCTGCCTGTGAAACAGACAGTTTGTGGTCACACTCACTGCTCGCCTTCCTCTGCCTGACTGTGTTTTCCAAGGCCAGTCTTGCCCTCCAGAAACTTCTCCATCACCTGCTCCCTGCTCTCCAGCCCATGCCTCGCAGTCTCCCCTGCGATGCCCGTTTCTGCTCCCAGGATTCTCATTCTGCTGTTCTTCCTGCCTGGAATGGCTGCTCACCTCCGCTTCAGTGGCTCTCGTGCTCTTGGTGGTGAAGGACCACTTGTATTTGTTCATTTTTATTTCCAGTCCATTGTAGATGATGTCTTTGTAAAAGACAATAAAAATGGCCGGGCGCATTGGCTCACACCTATAATCCCAGCACTTTGGAAGGCTGAGGCAGGCAGGTCCCCTGAGGTCGGGAGTTCGAAACCAGCCTGACCAACATGGAGAAACCCCGTCTCTACTAAAAATACAAAATTAGCCAGGCATGGTGGCGCATGCCTGTAATCCCAGCTACTCAGGAGGCTGAAGTAGGAGAATCGCTTGAACCTGGGAGGTGGAGGCTGCGATGAGCAGAGATGGTGCCATTGCACTCCAGCCTGGGCGACAAGAGCAAAACTCTGTCTCAGAAAAAAAAGAAAATAAAAATGTAATGATGCTGCCAGTTGCTACGTAAGTTTCTGAAAACTTACTGTCAATTTTGGCATCTCCTCCCAGACCAGTCACAGTTTGTCTGCAGACCCCACTGGAGTAGCACTGCCCAGTTTGTGTCCTCAAAGCTCCTCACCCTTAAGATCAACCAGCAGAGCACATAGAATTTTCCACTTTAACTTTTCTTGGCCTGACCGGTCAATACTGTACAATTTAGCACTTTGTTTCTCAGTGTTTCTTCTATGTTAACATTGTCTTTCTGGCAAAACTAAGCTTCTCAGTAACTTCCACGTTGGACCTGGGTACCTCTGAGGCATTACCTCATAATGTTGTGACCGACTGTTCTCTGCCGTAGCTGGATGCCATTGCTTTTTGTTGTATGTTAGGAATATCTGGAGCATAACCCATGGTCATGCTCTGCCCCTTGGCCTATTTAACAATTTTTTTTTAAAAAGGTTACCTCGTTGTGGTTTTCTTTATTTTTTAATTTTTGTTTTGTTTTCCTTTTTAGATACAGAGTCTTGCTTTATTGCCCAGGCTGGAGTGCAGTGGTCTGGTCATGGCTCATTGCAGCCTCTCTATCTGCTGAGCTTAAGTGATCCTCCCACCTCAGCCTCTTGAGTAGCTAGGACTACAGGCGTGTAACACCATGTCCAGCTAATTTTTTTAAAACTTTTTATGGAGATGCATCTCATTATGTTGCTCAGGCTGGTCTTGAACTCCTAGCCTCAAGTGATTCTCCTGCCTTGGCTTCCGAAAGTACTGGGCTTATTTAATTGTAAAAGATTATAAAAGTGGCATGAGCCACTGTGCCTGACCCCTGTGGTTCTCATTTTGAACTAATATATTTTTGAGTTATGATTGAGAAATATCTGAAAATAACAGTGTATCATAGAAAACATTCAGAAAAATATAGCCTAAAGGCATATCGGACCACTTAATTTACATATAATTGCAGTTTAACAGAAGTTGACTTAAAATCTCAGTGCTGGCTTTGTGGAGTTTTTTTGTTTGTTTGTTTTCTTGAGACGGAGTCTCACTGTGTTGGCCAGGCTGGGGTGCAGTGGTGTGATCTGCAACCTCCACCTCCTGGGTTCAAGTGATTCTCCCGCCTCAGCCTCCTGAGTAGCTGGGATTACAGGTGCCCACCACCATGCCCAGCTAATTTTTGTATTTTTAGTAGAGATGGGGTTTCACCATGTTGGACCAGGCTGGTCTCAAACTCCCGACCTCAAATGATCCTCCCGCCTTGGCCTCCCAGAATGCTGAGGTTACAGGCGTGAGCCACCGTGCCCTGCTTTTTATGGAGTTTCTAACTTCAAGGAAAACATCGGGGAGTTCTGCAGTTTGAGGGACAAGACTGTTCTCGTAAATGAACTCTCATGTGCCTCCCCTCTCTCTCCTTTTAGGCCCTTTCTTGCTGCCTTGCTACCAGGTGGGCAGCCAGCCCAGCACAGCCATGTTTCACAGTGAGGAAAATGGCTCGAAAGGGATGGATCCTTTGGTTCTCATTGACGCAATAGCTATTTGTATGGCATATGAAGAAAAGGAGCTTTGCAAAATCGGGGAGGTGGCCCTGGCTGTGATATTTGATGTTGCAAGTATCATCCTGGGCTCCAAGGAGAGGGTAAGGAAGGGTTGAGGAGTGTCTTCTGATTTGGAGGGTGTCTGTACCTGAGGGTGGGCCTTCTAGAGACTGATAGTTTAAGAATTGCGGCTGGGCGCAGTGGCTCACGCCTGTAATCCCAGCACTTTGGGAGGCCAAGACAGGCGGATCACCTGAGGTTGGGAGTTCGAGACCAGCCTGACCAACATGGAGAAACCCCGTCTCTACTAAAAATAAAAAAAAATTAGCCAGGTGTGGTGGCGCATGCCTGTAATCCCAGCTACTCGGGAGGCTGAGGCAGGGGAATCACTTGAACCTGGGAAGCAGAGGTTGCGGTGAGCCGAGATCATAGCGTGGTACTCCAGCCTGGGCAACAAGAGTGACTCTGTCTCAAAAAAAAGAAAAAAAAAAAAGAATTGCAGTAATGTGTTGTGGTTTGTTCATTTTCCTCTCCAGGCTTGCCAGCTGCCCCTGTTTTCTTACATCGTGGAGCGCCTGTGCGCGTGTTGTTATGAACAGGCGTGGTATGCAAAGCTGGGGGGTGTGGTGTCTATTAAGTTTCTCATGGAGCGGCTGCCTCTCACTTGGGTTCTCCAGAACCAGCAGACATTCCTGAAAGCACTTCTCTTTGTCATGATGGACTTAACTGGAGAGGTAGGTGATGGGCAGCCCCAATCCTAACCATGCTGTTTTTGAAATGGTGGTTTCCTGAAGAATAGTATCACATCCTTCTGCAAATATGCTCTCCACGCAGCATGGTGACTTTGATACTCAGATTTCATTTCAGCATTTTTGCTAAAAGGACAGCTCAGAGCTCCCATAGGTCTTCTGTGGGTATCCAACTACCTGTTTGCTTTGATAAAGAACAGTTACAGGCCAAGTATTTACTCAGTACGTCTGAAAAGGGGAATTCCACTTCTCATGTGCTGTTTCCAGAGGAGCCACATTCTTAAGCCTGTGTGCAGATATGACTCACAGCAGTAGAACATGATGGGCATTGCCAGCTTATCTGGTGAATGCAGGATCCACGTTTTCCGAGTAGACGACTTAGGGACTAAAGCACCAAGTGGGTGCTGTGAAGTCACTTCATTAAAGCAGCTGGCGAGAGGGGCATGGACCCCCAGTGAAAGTCTTTATGGCAGACGGGTGTGCAGGAGATGGTGCAGTGGGTGGCATCGCCCTGCTTTCATTCTGAGTCGTCCCTGACTTGCAGGTTTCCAATGGGGCAGTCGCCATGGCAAAGACCACCCTGGAGCAGCTTCTGATGCGGTGCGCAACGCCTTTAAAAGACGAGGAGAGAGCTGAAGAGATTGTGGCCGCCCAGGAAAAGTCTTTCCACCATGTGACACACGACTTGGTTCGAGAAGTCACCTCTCCAAACTCCACTGTGAGGAAGCAGGCCATGCATTCGCTGCAGGTGTTGGCCCAGGTCACTGGAAAGAGTGTGACGGTGATCATGGAACCCCACAAAGAGGTGAGATTTCTGTCACCAGAACTAACGTAATTTCAACAGAATGTTGAGACTTTTTTTTTTTTTTAATTTGAGTTGAGATGATATTCCGTTTATAATTTTGCGTCTGTGTTGCAAAGTACAGTCATCCCTTGGTATCTGTGGGGGCCTTGGTTCCAGGACCCTGCGTGGGTACCAAGATCTGGGATACTCAAGTCTCTGATGTAAAATGGTGTGATATTTGTATGTAACTTATGTACATCTTCTGTGTACTTTATTTACTGATTTATTTTTTCTTTTTTAATATTTTTTAAATTTTCATTTATTTACTTTTTTGAGACAATCTCACTCTGTTGCCCAGGCTGGAGTGTGATCCTAGCTCACTGCAGCCTCGAACTCCTGGGCTCAAGTGATCCTCCTGCCTCAGCCTCCTAAGTAACTGGGACTACAGACGCACACCACCATGCCTGGCTAGTTTATTTTTTATTTTTTTTTCACTTTTTTTTTTTTTTTGAGACAGAGTCTTGCTGTGTCGCCCAGGCTGGAGTGCGGTGGCACAATCTCGGCTCACTGCAAGCTCCGCCTCCCAGGTTCACGCCATTCTTCTGCCTCAGCCTCCCAAGTAGCTGGGACTACAGGCGCCTGCCACCACGCCCAACTGATTTTTTGTATTTTTAGTAGAGACGGGGTTTCACCGTGTTAGCCAGGATGGTCTCGATCTTCTGACCTCCTGATCCACCTGCCTCGGCCTCCCAAAGTGCTGGGATTACAGGTGTGAGCCACCGCACCTGGCCTATTTTTTAACTTTTTAAGTTACGACTTTTCTTTAAGGAAATTATCCAGCCCAAAATGTCCTTTTTTTCTTTTTAATTTAACAATTTTTTTCCAGCTATTTTTTGTAAAGATGGGATCTCAATGTGTTGCCCAGGCTGGCGTTGAACTCCTGGGGTCGAGCAGTCCTCCCATGTCAGCCTACCAAAGTGCTGGGATTACAGGTGTGAACCACTGTACCTATCCTTAAATTTTATGGGTATATAAAAATTTGTATAATCTCCCATATACTTTAAATTAGTTCTAGATTACTTATAATACCTAATACAATGTAAATGCTATGTAAATAGTTATGCTTTATTAGTTTATTTGTTTTTCGTTGTCATGTTATTTTTTATTTATTTTTCCCTCAAGTATGTTTTCTTCTCACTTGGAAGCATCTGAGGATGCAGAACCACAGACACAGAGGGCTAGCTCTACCCTTGTGCCTGCTCTTTATGACTTGAGATTTGCAAAAAACAGTGTACTTCTAGTTACGGCTGCATCAGTGATCGTTAGAGTCAAGAGAGTAGAAGGCTACGTTCCTGAGACTATGGCACAGTCTGGTAGTTTTATTCTTGTTTTGTTGTAGTTTTGTTTTTTGTTTTGGATTTTTTTTTTTTTTTTTAGTTTTGATTTTTAAGGAGAGAGAGGTTACCCTGTAGCTTTAGGAGCTAACATATCTTACATGCCTCTCCACGACCCAGGTTTTGCACATGAAATGTATCTCCCCTTCCCTAGTGAGAAGATATCTGTAATAACTTTGGATCTCACACACGGTTTTCAAATTTTTAAAAAGTGTTTGTGTCTCAAGGGGCAGCTGGTGAGTGCTGCCTCCTCCTTGGCTTCCCCAGGTCCTGCAGGATATGGTCCCCCCTAAGAAGCACCTACTCCGACACCAGCCTGCCAATGCGCAGATAGGCCTGATGGAAGGGAACACGTTCTGTACCACGTTGCAGCCCAGGCTCTTCACAATGGACCTTAACGTGGTGGAGCATAAGGTGTTCTACACAGAGGTAGGGGGGTGGTGGTGCGGAGTGGTGTGGATGGTGATGACGTGTGTCTGCTAGCCTGTCTTTGTACGCGAAGACTGGTCAGGCAGCATTCAGAGAAGGCTCTGGCAGGGACCTGCAGGTAACCCGCCGACACCTGGCACAGCAACCTGAGCAGGTATGTTGCGTCTGGGCTCGGGCGGAAGGGGGAGCTATGGCCAGCAGAGACGCTGATGTCTTCTGAGTTCTCAGAACTCTGTTAGCCCCAACAGGAACCCTTGCTTGAATTTAGGGACTCAAGGTTGTACTTTAAAGATGAAGCTGCACCCAGTTGCTTTAATCACTCTTAGATCAGCTGGCCCAGTGCAAGTGCCTTATTGCATTCACTAATCACTGAAACGTGCCATGCGCTGTTGAGAACGTCACACGAGTGCCCTAAGTTCTGACAGCACCCACTGAAGTGTAGGGGTTGAGCTGTTTGTTCTCATTTTGAAGGTGTGGAAACTGAGGCTTAGAGTTTGCTGATTATCCAAAGCGGCGGGGCAGTCCTGAATTTAAGCCAGGACTGTTATTTAGAGCCTGGTTGCTAATCACTGCACTGTCCAGCCGGGTTCTTATTTTTTTGCTGGACTTGATTTGCCCCTTGACCCAAACACGGACCCTGGCAGACGGCATCTTACGCATCTTATGAGTATTTGTCACTGTAAACGTTCCAGTGTGGGGTGATATTAGACTGACAAACAGGAATGAAACTGGATGTTGCCAAATTATAAGCAACGTCCTTAGAATACAGTAATGATCTGGTGATTGGATAAAATTTAAAATTTTTTGGGACATGAATCATACATGCAGAGGCATTGTCAGAGTATACCACGGCAAAAATCAGAAGAAAGCAAATTCTTCCAGGTCCACACTGTCTGAATTTCTGGATATGAAAATTTACCTCTTGACGTTTTTAAGGTCCTGTTTTTGCTTGGACATATGGTTATAGGATCATATGGTCTGGCTGTGATCTTTATACCTTATCATTTGGGCTTGACAGAAGGGCAAGACCTTTAGGAAATGCATAACTTCCCTTGGCTGATCTAGAGACAGATGTATTTTAGCCTGCATGGAAAACTCCTCACTGCACTTAAGACCAGAGCCTGGCAGTATTGAGGGCATGAAACTGGTTTTCCAGATGTCTGTCAGTGCCTGGCTGCATCAGAACACGTGCGGATCTTTTGAAAAGCTTGGACTCAAGTCCTTTCCCTGGAGATTCAGGTTCAGTAGATTTGGGTGAGACCTGGGAATCCACTGTCTGAAAGCTTCCCAGGTGATACTGTGTGGCTGTGTTGGGGTTTTGTTTTGTAGTTGACTTCTTTCTCCGTACCTGCACACATATACATGCATTCTCTCCATACCTGCACACATACATACACTCATTCTCTCCATACCTGCACACATACACACACACATTCTCTCCGTACCTACACACATACACACACGCATTCTCTCCGTACCTGCACACATACACACACGCATTCTCTCCGTACCTGCACACATACACACACGCATTCTCTCCGTACCTGCACACATACACGCATTCTCTCCGTACCTGCACACATACACGCATTCTCTCCGTACCTGCACACATACACGCATTCTCTCCGTACCTGCACACATACACGCATTCTCGCCGTACCTGCACACATACACACACGCATTCTCTCCGTACCTGCACACATACACACACGCATTCTCTCCGTACCTGCACACATATATACACACATTCTCTCCATACCTGCACACAAATATACACGCATGCCCTTATATGTGAGGAGAGTATTTTTGGAGGTCATATAAGGCCCTACCAACAGTGGTTTCCTCTGGGCAGTGGAATGGGGTGGGTGACTTGAAGTGCTTTTCACTATGTATCCTTTTCTGCTGTTTTAAATCTTTTACCAGGTTGGAATCTTAAGGAGGAAAAAATGGTCAAAGCCTATACTAGTTTTCCAGGATGTGAATGAAGAGAAGGGGGAAATAGTGATAGAACACCATGTCTGTTACTTAGATAACAGATACAGAAGTATCTAGTTGTGTGGTAAAATGTCTGGAAGGATAGTCACTGGAATTCCCAGTGCTGTTCAGCTTCTTTCTTATGCATTTCTGTACTTGAAAAGAAAAAAAGTGCGTTCACTTAAATATTTGAATTATAGCCCATCTGTTTCTTGAACACTTGCCCGTGGCCCTGGGGAGGCTAATGTGAACCAGGAGGAGACAGCCCCGCCATCATGGGATTTGCAGTTAGATAAAATGACCCCCTGTTTTGAGGAAAAAAAAACATGATGGTATCAGAGTGGGTGAGAAAAAAACATCGTGGTATCAGAGTGGGTGAGAAAGTGTCTTAAGAATTCTTTTCACTAATGAGGTAAACTGAGTTTTGCCTTAAAGAGTCTCGGTCATACTTTGATACTTAAAATCTTGAGGATTTGAGCTTATTTTGTCAGTTGTTAATTGTGTGGCTGTGTGTGTGTTGCTGTGCTCTGTTATTTGCAAGGTTATTATGTCTTCACAGGAAGAGTGGGCTAAATGAAATTGTTTTATCTTTTGCAGCTGTTGAATTTGTGTGAGGCTGAAGATTCAGCTTTAACAAAGCTGCCTTGTTATAAAAGCCTTCCGTCGCTCGTACCTTTGCGAATTGCAGCATTAAGTAAGTTAATGAAAATCTACAGGGTATAAAAGTGAAAGGAGACTGACTATAGAGGAGGTCTATAGAAAACAAAAGTGGCCTGTTGTTGTTAATTTTTATGACTTTTTGTAGTCTTTTTAAGATGGGATCAAAAAATTATTTTTGTATGTCAAATTGTATAATGTGTATAATGAGGTGCCGTAAAATTATATGTGTTGTTAGGATTGAAGTAATTTTGTGCTTTATAGTAAAGTCTGTTGTTGTTTTATGAATCAGGCGTTCTGGTTTAAAAGGATTGTCGTATCATGCATATGGTGCCATTTCAATCAGAATCACAGTGTATATATAGTAAGGGACACGACAGTCTTAAAAGCTTTTTAATGACTCAAGCATTTGTTAATCCTGCAGTCTCTAGGTTTTCATTGGGAAACCTCAGTTCTCATTGTCAAGCACAGGAATGATGCAAAGTGTAGGAAAATAGACCAGATCTGTACTGACCGACATAGAAACAGTCATTTTCTCTCTTGTGGGGAGTGAATATAAATGCCCAATGCAAACTTTTTTAGTTGATTCTCTCTTGCTTTGTTGATTTTTATGCTCTTAATAAAATATTTCCAGAATCTTCCTTGAGTTAGAGTTGAAGAGCTGAGAGGCAGACCATAATACCTGAGCTAGAAGATGGGGGTGGAGTGTTCCAGACAGCGCAAGCCAAAGCCAGCAGGGGGACCAGGGATGACAGGCAGCTTTCTTCTTCTCTTGAGGTGTCTTCTTTGGGGACCTCTGCTGCACCTCCTTCCCGTTAGCCATTGTGGGTGCTACTTTTGCTAGAATGAATGTTACCTGTCACCTAACATAGAAGATTGAAGTGTGTCTCCTTCCTTAAGAATATTTGCCTTTTGAAAGTCTTAAAGCCTTTCATCCTCAAACCTGGGTAGTGAAGAAAGGCTGGACTGTGTGTGTCTGTCCCCTGCATTGCCTGTCACCGGAGGGCCAGAGACCATGCCATCAGCCTTATTCAGATGGGACTGCCCTGGGGCCCGTCACCCCATTACCCCGTGAAGGTGTCCTGGAATAGGGGTGTCAGTGGGTGTCTTTTCTTCCCCCTCAAGCCTTCTTCTTATCTGGAGATGTAAGATTTATCATGGCTTTTCTGGCAGGCTGGACTTCACTCTTAGATTATACTCGACATGAGGATGGAAGACCATGTGTACTTTTGTCTTTCTCAAGGCCAAACACTAGGAAAGAGGGCTCGTGGTTCATATTTTTTGTTGGTTGGTAGGAGCCTTTAGGAAAGAAAATTCAGCTGGGGCAGTGGCTCACACCTGTAATGCTAGCACTTGGGGAGGCCAGGGCAGGAGAATCCCTTGAGATCAGGAGTTGGAGATCAACCTGGGCAACATAGCAAGATACCGTCTCTACCAAATAATAATAATAAATAAATATAGAGAAGAAAATTATTTGGGTATCTTTCCAGTTAGTAATGAAATTGTCTTGATTTCTCTCCCTGAAGATGCACTTGCTGCCTGCAATTACCTTCCTCAGTCCAGGGAGAAAATCATAGCTGCACTCTTCAAAGCCCTGAATTCCACCAATAGTGAGCTCCAGGAGGCCGGAGAAGCCTGTATGAGAAAGGTGAGTGGGTGAGTGTGTGTGTGTTCTGCATTGAGTTCTTCCTGTTTATTGCTATATAAACAGTATGTGCCTAAAAAGCTTTATGCATGTGGTTATTACACATTAAGCTGTAATAAGAATATACCTGTTTCATAGTCATACTGAATTTTTAAAAATATTAAACAGTAAAGATAAGTCTTCTTCATTTCATCATGAATTTCTGAAAGACAGTATATGACTAATATTCCATCTTCCTAAGGGAGAACAGAAACTAAGGTTGAAGATGACTTCTGTTCTATTATGGAGTGTCCTCAGTTGTCTATTTTTCTTTACAACTTTTCTAATAGTTTTTGGAAGGTGCTACCATAGAGGTCGATCAAATCCACACACATATGCGACCTTTGCTGATGATGCTGGGAGATTACCGGAGCTTGACGCTGAATGTTGTGAATCGCCTGACTTCGGTCACGAGGCTCTTCCCAAATTCCTTCAATGATAAATTTTGTGATCAGATGATGGTAAGCCAAATGCATTTAAACGCTCTATAATTAACTTAAAAAAGGTTAAATTATTTTAAAAATAAATAATGCAGCTAGGCACAGTGGCCCACGCCTGTAATCCCAGCACTTTGGGAGGCTGAGGTTGGTAGATCGCCTGCAGTCGGGAGTTCGAGACCAGACTGGCCAACATGGTGAAACCCATCTCTACTAAAAATACAAAAATTAGCCTGGTGTGGTGGCACGCATCTGTAATCCCGACTACTCGGGAGGCTGAGGCAGGAGAATCGCTTGAATCTGGGAGACAGAGGTCGCAGTGAGCGAAGACTGTGCCACTGCACTCCAGCATGGGCAACGAGTGAAACTCCATCTCAAAAAAAAAAAAAAAATTAGCCAAGCCTGGTGGCACGTGCCTGTGGTCCCAGCTTCTTGGCTCGGAGGCTGAGGTGGGAGGATCGCCGGAGCGTGGGAGGTGAAGTTTGCATGAGCCAAGATGGCATCCCTGCACCCCAGTCTGGGTGACAGAGCAAAACCCTGCCTCAAAAAAAAAAATAAATAAAATAAAATAAATAATGCATTCAGATGGCTTGAAATTGAAAAAGTGTAAAGGATATACTGCAGAAAGCCTCCCTCCCACCCTGTCCTCTAGCTACCCAGACCCCTCCCTGAGACAGCCAGGGTTAAGACTTTGTTGTGTATCCTTTTAGAGATGTTTTATATATGGAAGAGGACGTATGTATATATATTTTTTCCTATAAAAGGAGGTACAATATATATATACACAGTCCTTGCTTTTCCCATTTAACACCCATCATTTCGTATCAGTACCTGAAATACTCCATTCTGCTTTATGGCTGCATAGTACCTCATGACATGGACTTGCCATAATTTATTTAACCATGGCCTCACTGGTGAACATTTAGATTGTTCCCAGCCTTTTCATTATATCCCATGATGCACTGAAGAACTTGTTCATAATTTCACATGTGTTTATCTGTGGTGTACATTTCTACTGGTAGAATTTCTAGATCAAAAGAATGTATGCATTTTAATCTTTTAGCACCTTGTCAAATTGCTCTCCAAAAAAATTTTTACTAATATACACTCCTACAAAATAGGTAAGTGTGCCTTCTTTCATACAGTCTTGCGTAAGAACATCAGAGTCCTTTGGGTTTTTAGAATTAACAGAGAAATAATTATGCAGGAAAAAAACCCATTTGTCAGTGTTTAAAATTGAAATGTAAGTGGATGGAGGATATCATCTATTAGCTTTCTTTTGCATTCAATTTTGCTTCTGGTAAATGGATTTATATATAATAAACAGGATTTCATGATCCACCACTGCAAACATGAATGTATTTTTCATGTTTATGTTTCCTAAGTGGCGTTTGACCATTTGACATTTTAAGATACTGGAGCTACTTTTTTCTTTTTGGTATACTTTTCCCCCAGCTATAAACAGGAGTTTATACAATGTATCACAGTGCATAGATACATTGTATTTACATGCGGAATGTAGAGAAATATATATGAAAGACACATAGCTTTTTACCTCATCTATATGTTAGTTTCTTCATATCTACAAGTACCTAAATAATGAATAATGAGCCAAACACTAAAATTGTAAGTTGTGCCCTAGTAATACATTATAATTGAAGAAGTATAATATGGAAGTGAATGTTCCAAATTGGAGACTTTCTCCTTAAGCTTCCAAATACATGTAATAGACATACATACCTATCAGTTTCCATATATTCCATATATTCACAAGAGTGGCTAAAATAAATATATAAAGTTACATCACTTCCTAACCAGAGCACATCCTGTAAACACTATCTTGTGTTACGGCTGAGGTGCTTTCACACATGAGGCCCATGAGCTCTGTGCATGTGTCCAAATGTCCTAATGCTTTTGTGTATGTTTCCTCTTGAAAAGTCGTCTGTCATTTTTTGCTGCCTTTGTATGCTTGCCTGAAGCAGCTTTGATTTGTTTATTTTTATTTTTGAGACAGAGTATGGCTCTGTTGCTTAGGCTGGAGTGCAGTAGTGTAATCTCATCTAATTGCTACCTCTGCCTCCCGGGTTCAAGTGATTCTCCTGCCTCAGCCTCCCAAGTAACTGGGATTATAGGCGTCCGCCACCATACCCAGCTCATTTTTTTATTTTTAATGCAGACTGGGTTTCACCATGTTGGGCAGGCTGGTTTTGAACTTCTGACCTCAAGTGATTCACCTGCCTCGACCTCCCAAAATGCAGGGATTACAGATGTGAGCCACTGCACCTGGCCTGTTTGTTTGTTTGTTTATGAGACAGAGTCTCACTCTGTCACCCAGGCTGAAGTGCAGTGGCGTGATCTCGGCTCACTGGAACCTCTGCCTCCTGGGCTCAGGTGATTCTCCTGTCTCAGCCTCCCGAGTAGCTGGGATTACAGGCGCCTGCCACCACGCCTGTATTTTTAGTAGAGATAGGGTTTCATCATGTTGGCCAAACTGGTCTTGAACTCCTGACCTCATGTGAACCACTGCACCTGGCCCAGCCTGTTTATGTTTAATCCCTAGTCTAACCCTTCAAATCTGCTGTGAGCTGGGAAATCATTCAGTGAACATTGTTACCAAGATTTTATTTTGGTGCAATATGAAGACAACTGCCTTAATGTCTGTAGTTTCTGACCAAGGCCAGTGGTCTTTCCGCCTAAAATAAATCACATGGATTTTGTGTTAATGGTTCGTGTTAGGTGAATTTTTTCCTCCCTTTTCTGCTCTCTGAGTGGTTCAAGCTAGAGGAGTTTCCATCCAGACGTTTTCATCTAGCACCCACCTGGACTGAGTCCAGCCTGGACTTAACGTTGACGGTGCCTTTGTGCTTGATGGCGGAGGTCTTCCTGAGTTACACCTGCCTGCTGGGCTCTGCCAGAGGCAGTGGTAAGGGACACACTGGTCCCTACTTAGTCATGTTCTTCAGAACCATGTTCAGTCACTGCTGGAGCTCTTGTCATTCCTCATAAGCCTTCGAGTTTAATAGCTCAAGCCTTCAGCAGTATTTTAAGAGCTAAGGCACCTTACTTTTAGGGTGGGCATTCATGGAAACAACCCTGAAAATTGACCTTTTTTTAAGAGTTTTAGAGTTTTAGCTCTTACATTTAGGTCTTTGGCCCATTTTGAGTTCTTTCTTGTATATAGCATTAGATAAGGGTCCAACTTCATTCTTTTGCATGTGGTATTCAGTTTCCTTAAGATTGAACTACTTGACATGATTATTAAGTCTTTTATGTGGTTAGTTGGTTTTTCTGTTTGTTTATTGAGACAGGGTCTTGCTCTCTCTCCCAAGCTGGAGTGCAGTGGCGTGATCATAGCTCACTGCAACCTCCACCTCGGGTTCAAGCAATCCTCCCACCTCAGCCTCCTGAGCAGCTGGGATTATGGGCATGTGCCACCATGCCCGGCTAGTTTTTGCATTTTTAGTAGAGACAGGATCACACCATGTTGGCCGGGCTAGTCTAAAACTCCTGGCCTCAATCGATGTGCACGCCTCCCAAAGTGCTGGGATTACAGGAGTGAGCTACCGCACCTGGCCATGTGGTTGGTTGGCTTGAATAATTTCCTCACCAAGCTAAAGATGAATTTTGTATACCCATTAGTGTCATTTTATTCCTTTGGGAAAAAAAGAATGGTGATGTGGCTGGCTGTTGTCTATCCCTTTAATTCTGTTACTCTCATTTATATCTTTGTGTAAGGAGCCATTCTGGTAAGGAGTAGGGTTCATGAATTTCTGTTCTGGTGATTAATATCCTTTAGGGAATGTTGTTGTAGTGCTTTGAAGAAATGTGTATTATTGTGTGCATTTCTCAATGCCAGTGGTCCCTGGAACATTGACTCTGCACGATGGCGGTGTTTCATGAAACCAGTTTGTTGGCTACGTAAGGTTGGGAAATGCAGCCTCTCCAAGTCTGACATGGACTGTAAGGACGTTAAAGGCTCAGAGAAGGCTTGTCTTAGAGAGGAGTGTTTAGGTGTCCTAACCATTGTTCCCCGTTCCTGTTCTACCATGGAAACCTTTTTAAAGCAACTTGCTAACTTCCTGTAGGACATCGGTGTTCTGAAGGGAGGGTTTGAACAACGCAGGATATTAAAGATGCAACTGTTACCGAATGCTCTTGTTGTGGTTTTAGCTTTAAAGCCTGGGCATTTGTCTGCCTGGTTTTGCTGGACACAGAGGCTGGAGCCTGGCTACCAGGTGCCTGGGTTAAGCTAAAGTCGGGGGTCTCTTCCCATACTCTTAAATGCAGAGTCCCTTGCTGAAGCATGGCCCTCATTCTGCAGAGGGAATTGCGGCCCTGTGGCACTCATTTGCACAGTCCCTGACCGAATGGGGTCCATATCTATCTCACCAGCCCCTTCCCTAGGGTCCCCATTGTGCCCACTGCTCCCCAGCTGCTGTGGCCGCTGTTCCTTCTGTGCTGTCAGGGCCTTTGTCCTCCCCTACTCTCTGCCCCTCTGCTTCTGGCTTTCCTACCTTTTCCGAGTCCTGTCCTCAGCAGGAGGACCCCGACCCCCTCCTCTCTCATCAGAGCTGGTTCCTGTCTTCCTCTTACAACACCGTAATTGTAGCTACACACAGTAGGCACCTTTATGTTTACCTTTTTCCCCATCAGACCACGGGCTCCACAAGGAGAGGGACATCAGGACACGGATGAGGTCGGCCGCTCACGTCTCTACTTAACACCCAGTGTGGGAGCCGACACTTCCAAGCACTCAGTGAACAGCTGGGAAACAAGTTAACAGAAAGTAAAATGGCAGGGCCTGGTATTGGAACACCCAGGAGTCAGGGCGCTTCCTTCTGTGTCAGAGCAAGTTAGCCTTTTTATTTTGAAACATGAACAAATGCCAATTATTCTCATCACTAGTTAGATGGTTGCGCTGTTTTAATAATGGAAACGTTGCAGTTCTCACACTAAACATGATGGAAATGAATGATTACATAGGAATTTCCACCAGAGAGCAATACTTTGGAAGTGGAATGCACCTCTGTGAGGAAGTTGTGTCTCAGGATGTGTTTTTCCAACAGCAACATCTGCGCAAGTGGATGGAAGTGGTGGTGATCACCCACAAAGGGGGCCAGAGGAGCGACGGAAACGTGAGTGACTTGTTTGTTTCTGGGAAGGGCACCAGCCGCCATGCTGGGTCATTGCTAATGCCGGGACAGTGCTTTCATTAAAATGCCGGTCAGAAATCTAGTTTGACATGATTATAGTCCTTGTAAATTGTTAAACACATTTGATTGGTATTCTGTTTTGCCTGTCTTTCTCTTAATTGCTGAACATTCCTTTTTATGTTTCTTTAAAATCTCCCCTTTGGTTCACTTTAATATGACTTTTCTGTTGAGAATTCTGGGGGGCTTGAATGTTAGTATTTCAATTTTACCAGCTCTGCTTTAAACAGCGGATTTTCTAGCCTGTCCTTGGCAGCCGCTGTTTACATGGTGGTGCGTTCCTCAGCTATTGTTTCCATCGCTTTCCATCATGGGGTGGTGGGTAAATGTGTTTAATCATTATTGCCTGATAAAACCAACTGGAGATTTTTTAGGACTTAAAGCCTTCAGGGGAATGTAAGAAGGAATCCCATAAATACCGGCACGTGTGTTTTCAAGGTCTGCGTCATCCACCCCAATTGTTTGTCCAGTTATATGACTGGCCCTTCAAAGCACATTTGTATGGTTTTAAAGGAAAACTGCTTCAGCTAAATCTTGAAGTGTCTGATGTGGGTCATTAAAGACTTTGTCTCTTAAGAATGCATGCTTTCTGCTCTTTTAAATCTAATATTATTTGTATATGTTTATTTTTTACAGTTTTTGTTTTTAACTTGATGTCCTCGCAGTGGAATTGCCTTTTCCATGGGTTTCATAATCCCCAGTGAAACTTGACAACAGTGTTCCTGTTAGGGACTTCCTCATAGTTCTTCAGAGGCATAATTAACGTGGCTTTTTGTCCTCGTGTGCCTTTGCTGGATGTGTTCCATCCCAACTTGGATTTTTCTTTTCTGGCTTTATTATGCTTTGTTTTGACCATTGTGTATCAAGGTGTTTTGTTTATGTAAGTCTTGTTTCCTACTGCTTCTAAACAGCCAAGTAAGCAAAACTAAACCAGGATTTTAAACTTTTTAAAGAAGTGATATGCCACGCATGATCCTGTTGAAGGTTTGCTATTTATATACGCAGAAGAGAATCAGGAACTCTTCGTGGAGGAGAGCAGAGTATGTTAATGAGCCCAGGCCCCTGGGATGAGGTGCAGGTGTCTCTGTGCTGCTCTCCCTCTCTCATCTGTTAGGTACTTTTGCTTTACATTTTATATTTGTTTTTATAGTAAGCTGTTACTTTTCTGGAACTCAGTTCTAGAATAAACATTTTAAAAAACCTAGTGGGTAGATGAACAACCTCATTTGAATCAAAAAGATTTAATATAAAATCCTTAACTTGGCCTAGTTAAAAAAATAATAAAAGATTTCATAAAAGTTTACAGCAGGTTATTTGGAGGTGGGGGTGCAGTTGTATAGGGGATGGAGTCGTGGATACTGGAAAGTCCTTGAGCTCCTCCTGGAACATTTTTATCATCCTGTGATTATATTACCTGAACATCCAGGGAGGGTCCAGCGCCGTGAGGTTGGCCGCTTGTCTGAAACTCAGAGGCCATGGTGTTTGGGGGCCCAGAGACAACCAACACGGCCGTGGCTTCATCACCTAAGCCCGGGGCCAGGCTGCCATTCAGCTCCTGAATTCTGATCACATTTTAATCTTGGAGAGTAGTTTGTTCCTATTTGGTAGCATCCCCAGATGTCATTCCATTGAGACACTACCATTGAAGATATGCCAGACAGTTGACTAAGCTGCCCTCGAGCCTTTTTTTTTTTTTTTTGAGGTGGAGCCTCTGTCGCCCAGGCTGGAGTGCAATAGCACAGTCTTGGCTCACTGCAGCCTCCGTCTCCTGGGTTCAAGCAATTCTCCTGCCTCAGCCTCCCAAGTAGCTGGGATTATAGGTGCCTGCCACCACATCCGGCTTATTTTTGTATTTTTAGTAGAGGGGTTCACTTTGTTGGCCAGGCTGGTCTTGAACTCCTGACCTCAGGTGATCCACCTGCTTTGGCCTCCCAAAGTGCTGGGATTACAGGCGTGAGCGACTGTGCCTGGCGTTCCCTGAGGCTTTGGATACCCCTGTGATCAGAGCTCTGCCCCATCACTGTGTTTAGGAAGCTTTCCTTTTTAACCGCGAGCTTACAGGGGAGAATGCATGACCACCTGTTATGCCTGTTCTCTGCGTGTGCACGCATAGTGCGTGCACACACGCACACACACACACAGAGCCAGTTTTAGGAAGACTGTGCTTCACTTTACATGATAACCCAGCTGTTCATTGGGTGTGGTCATGGCCTAAACCACCTGGACCTCTTCTGACTATAGCCGGGAAAGAGGTTTTTGTTATTATCTTAGCACTTCATATAAAATTTGAATTGTTCACTCTACGAAAGCCTTTTAAAAATGTGCTTGCATACAACAAGGTCTTCCAGTTTCTCCCCTTTCACAAGAATCCTGAAGCTCTATTTTGAAAACGTGCTGTAGGGAAGAAGTCCACTGTTAGCCACTCTCTGTCAGAAGGGCTGTGTTTTGACCTCGAAGGTGAAGGTGTGCTTTTTGCTGTTGAGCATTTGTTAATTACTGTGTGCTTTCTGATAATTTGTGTCTTTACTGTCTTGTTAACCCCAATAACTCTTACTGTGTTTGAGTATATGGGAAGTTTTTATGTAAATAACATAAATAGAAAAAAGATGATTTTCCTCCCCATCCTCAGGAAAGCATTTCCGAGTGCGGGAGATGTCCCTTGTCTCCATTCTGTCAGTTTGAGGTGAGAACAACCTATTAACAGTCAGTTTCTGACTTGCAATGTGAAGAACAGTTTACCTTTTCTTTTCTTTTCTTTTCTTTTTACCTTTCTGTTGCCTTTTTTCATGCTGTAATTTTTGTTTTGGTTCAGCCTGCCATGGAAGGGGTAGAGGTGAGAACTTGAGCGGAGCTACAGGAGGGGGTTGTTGTCGTTGCTGGTTTTGCTGTGACTCGTTAGCTGTGTCGTGGTTCTGTACTGGACAGAGTGCGTTGTGCCCTTGAGTGCAGTGACCTGTATTGTCTGTCTGTGGCAGAGTTGTATCAGTATCATTGCTGTGAACTGTCCAATGCCAAGCATGTTTTCTATTAGGACGTTTTAAGCAAGACTCTTAAGTTCATGTGAGAATTGCAATGTCTCAGTTATACTTAAAATTGAATTAGATTTTGTGTTCATAACCTCCATCTGAATACACGTAGCTAGCAACCTCCTGAGAGGAAACTCACACAGAGTATATTGTACCTGCTAGAAGTGGGAGGAATTACATGTTCTTTCACACTACTGACTGCCCTGAATTTAAACCCTCACAGCTCGTCCCACTCACCCACCCGGTCCCCTTCATCTCTCTCTTGCATGCATACACACAACACATGCACTCACACCACACGTGCACTCACACCACACATGCACACACCACACATGCACTCACACCACGTGCACACACAGTGCACTCACACCACACATGCACACACACATGTGCACTTGCACTAGTGCACACACACCACACGTGCACTCACACCATATGTGCACTCATACCACATGTGCACACACACCAATGCACTCACACTACATGCACACACCACCATGCACACACACCACCATGCACTCACAGCACCATGCACTCACAGCACACATGTACATGCAACACACATGCACACACCACACATGCACTCACACCACACACATCAGTGCACTCACACCACACGTGTGCTCACACCACGTGTGCTCACACCATACGTGCGCTCACACCGATGCGTTCACACCACACATGTACTCACACCACACGCGCACACACGTATGCACACACCACACATGCAGTCACACCACACGCACACACACCAATGCACTCACACCACGCATGTACTCACACCAATGCACACACACCATACATGCACTCACACCAGTGCCCACACACAACACATGCACTCGCACCAGTGCACACACACCACACACGCACGCACACACACCACACATGCACACACATGTGCACACACCACAGTGCACTCACACCACACATGCACACACACCAGTGCACTCACACCACACACACCACACATGCACACACCACATGTGCACACACACCAATGCACTCACACCACACACACCACACATGCACTCACACCAGTGTACTCACACCAGATATGTGCTCACACATTTGCGCTCACACCACACATGCACCACACATGTGCACACACCACACATGCACACACACCCCGAGCTTTCTCTCTCGTGTAAAATGGGGATGATGGCATCTGTCACTCCTGCTTCCTAGCAGTGTTGCAAAGACCCAAAGAAGTGGTTTCTGTGACAGTGCTTTGAAAATGAAAAAGCGGATTGTAAAAGTACCATTTTAGAACATTATAATTTCAGGATGGAACTTACTCTGTCCTAAGTCTTGCAGATTCTGGGGAAGAGAATTTTAGGGGACATGGAGCTGGCCTTGAGCCCATTTTTCTCATTTCGTACCCATCTCCTGCTTTGCCTTTGGTGTAAAGAGAAATTCCGAAAGTCTCTCGGGTGCTGCTGGGAGTGAGGCCCTTCCTGAGCCGTGCTGTCATCCCCATCTTACCCCGAGGATCGCAGCACACACAGCATAGCGCGGCACATTGGAACGTGTCCCTCCCTGTGGCCGTGGAGAATTCCTTTGAATGACAGGAGCGAAACTGGAAAGTGAGAAGGGAAAGCTGGAGCAACAGCAGCCCACCCCCGAGCTGTGAGATAGTAGAACGTGTAGCACCCTTGGCATTTCGCACATCTTTGATTTAATTCAGTGGAGCAGTTCATCATCTTTATTTTTAGGCCTGGTTGACAAATACTTAGTACCAGGATCAGTTGTTTATATACATTGATATTTAATTTCCAGGGCAAATACTTAAGTATTTTTTGAAGAACTTTGCTAGGGTTTTTTTTGTTTGTTTGTTTGTGTGGTTTTTTCTTTTGTCTTTTTTCTTTTTTTTTTTTGAGACTGGGTCTCATTCTGTTTCCCAGGCTGGAGTGCAGTGGCACGATCTCAGCTCACTGTAATCTCCGCCTCTCAGGTTCAAGCAGTTCTCCTGCCTCAGCCTGTGGAGTAGCTGGGACTACAGGTGCCCGCCACCACACTCGGCTACTTTTTGTATTTTTAGTAGACAGGGTTTTGCCTTGTTGGCCAGGCTGGTCTTGAACTCCTGACCACAGGTGATGCACCCGTCTCAGCCTCCCAGTGCTGGGATTACAGGCACGAGCCACCACACTGGCCTCTGCTAGGTTTTGCAGGCAAAAGATGTCTATGCCCTTAAAACTTAGTGTATTGAGAGGACCTCGTGATACCTTGGCGAAGTAGGGCATCCTCACGCTGCTCTGGCCCCAGGCGGAATCGTCCCCACTTCTGTGGGGGGAGTGGCATGGCAGCCCAGTAAGGTCACCTTTACCACTCGTCAGCATACATGACAGCAAACAGCACGATCACATCAGGTGTACACAGTCGGCCCCTCCACACCCTGCACAATGGACAGGAACGCTGAAGGCCACAGGCAGTCAGTTTCCTTAGGACACAGCACAGTTAGAACCTAAGGCTGGTAAGTTGTGGCTTTTACATGTGAACCCTTTGCTTCACTGCCTAGCCTTGCCAACATAGTTAGACTATGGTAGGGTCTGTAGTGACGTTGATCTCTGTCGCTTGCAAAATTAATTGACCTATTTATAATTTCTGGTTTTCTTGATCAGGAAATGAAGATTTGCTCAGCAATTATAAACCTTTTTCATCTGATCCCGGCGGCTCCTCAGACGCTGGTGAAACCTTTGCTAGAGGTTGTCATGAAAACGGAGCGGGCAATGCTGATCGAGGTAAGGGCCACACTGAAGGCTGCTTCTCGCTCTGCCACTCTCTGGTGCTTGTAGCATCCTCACTTGATTGTATTTTCAATGGACAGATGAAACAGCTTAAAGACATTCTATGTCAGTATTTGCTTGTGGGTGTTCATGCCCTCCAGTAACAAGGGACTGTGTTAGGTAGACAGAGCCTCAAGCTCTGAGGAGAGGAAGGTGTGAAATGCAGCGTTCCCACATGTTTTGCAGGCGGGGAGTCCGTTTCGAGAGCCCCTAATCAAGTTCCTGACTCGGCACCCCTCGCAGACCGTGGAGCTGTTCATGATGGAAGCCACCCTGAACGATCCCCAGTGGAGCAGAATGTTTATGGTGAGAGTTGTGAGCGGCTAGAGTCAGGGGTCCCTGCAAATGCGTGTGAGCTGTTGTGCTCTGACATGTTCAGTTCTTATTTCACTGTTCGGTGTCCTGGCTGCTTGTTTCTTAGATCCATTTGACTGTTGGAAACATCATTGCTGTTTGGTTGTGTCTGTGAAACGCGCAGGTCTAGGAACCACTCTTTGTAGAACTTTGGTGGTGGTAGCAAATAAATGCTCTGCCGGGATTATAAACTCACAAAGTATGGTTACTGTTTAAAAGTACGTTTTAAGGGCCCACACCTGTAATCCCAGCACTTTGGGAAACTGAGGCAGGTGGTTTACTTGAGCCCAGGAGTCTGAGACCAGCCTGGGCAACAGAGTGAGACCTTGTCTTTACAAAAAATATGAAAATTAGCTGGGCATGATGGCGCATGCCTGTAGTCCCAGCTACTCAGGAGCCTGAGGTGGGAGGATTGCTTGAGCTCAGGAGTTGGAGGCTGCAGTGAGCTATGATTTTACCACTGCACTTCAGCCTGGGCCACAGACCCAAGACTCTCTTTTTAAAAAGAAAAACAAGCATCTTTTAAAAAGCATGAGTGTGTTGCTTTTTTGGTAAGCCTTCGAGAGATTTAGAAAGATTTTTTCAAAGGTTTAGAAAGATTTAAAATTCATATCCTCTAACTTTCTATCAGTTCGATTAGCTTAAAACAGCTTTTCTATTTGTTTTGCTTTCAGAGTTTTTTAAAACACAAAGACGCCAGACCTCTGCGGGATGTGCTGGCTGCCAACCCCAACAGGTTCATCACCCTGCTGCTGCCAGGGGGTGCCCAGACGGCCGTGCGCCCTGGCTCACCCAGCACCAGCACCATGCGCCTGGACCTCCAGTTCCAGGCCATTAAGGTAGCGCCCCTTCCTCCGGCCCCCGACACTCAGGGGTTTAATCGAGACGCAGTTCCCTAATTGTCTCTTCTTTGACAGATCATAAGCATCATAGTGAAAAACGATGACTCCTGGCTGGCCAGCCAGCACTCTCTGGTGAGCCAGTTGAGACGTGTGTGGGTGAGTGAGACTTTCCAAGAGAGGCACCGCAAGGAGAACATGGCAGCCACCAACTGGAAGGAGCCCAAGCTGCTGGCCTACTGCCTGCTGAACTACTGCAAGTGGGTGCCTCCTCCGCCCTGCTCCGCGGGACCGGCTCTGGACCGCAGGTTCAGCCGGAGCCTCCTTCTTGTCTGTACAAGGCTGTGGTCATGGGATACGTGCAGTCGGATTGGTTGTAGAGAATGGGCTGTCTCTGAGCTGTTTCAAGGCAAGTCAGAGGCGTAGTTGTTAATGGAGTTTGCTGTAAGTTAACCTGTCTTCTTCTTTTGACTCTCCAGAAGGAATTACGGAGATATAGAATTGCTGTTCCAGCTGCTCCGAGCCTTTACTGGTCGTTTTCTCTGCAACATGACATTCTTAAAAGAGTATATGGAGGAAGAGATTCCCAAAAATTACAGCATCACTCAGAAACGTGCCCTATTTTTTCGCTTTGTAGACTTCAGTGACCCCAACTTCGGAGATGAATTAAAAGCTAAAGTGAGTCCCACTCTGATGCTGTAGAAGGCTACGGGTATTTAATCTGGTATTCTAGGGAACCTCAGGCCCTTTTCTTTTCTCGCTGTGTCTCCCTTGAATAAATAGTAGAGTGAGCCAGGTGCTGTGGCACGTGCCTGTAATCCCAGGTACTCAGGAGGCCACGGTGGGAGGATTGCTTAAGCTCAGGAGTTGGAGGCTGCACTGAGCTATAATCACACCATTGCATCCCAACGTGGGTGACACAATGAGACTCTGTGTCAGGAAAAAAATAACAATTAGTGGGCCGGGCTGTAGGTGAGAAAGTGCCATTGCTGAGGAACGTCAGGTTCATGCAGCGGTGACCCAGCGGTGAATGGTGGTTCGTTAATTGCCTTGTTTTTAGAAAATGGCTTGTGTGACGTGGAAAGAATAAACCAGGCTGACATCTCTTTTCCACAAGTTTTTAACCTACCTTTCTAGTTGTTCTTTGTGTAGAAGGCAAGGTTGGTAGTCTCACCCTGGGTTGAGTTCCAATGTGATGGTGTGGTATGGCCGAGACTGGCTGTTCTTCCCGTCTTACTCAAGAAACAAGCAGCGTGGCTTTGTTTTTCTCCTTCTTTATTTAAACTTTCTTTTTTTTTTGTTTTTTGTAGGTTCTACAGCATATATTGAATCCTGCTTTCTTGTACAGCTTTGAGAAGGGGGAAGGAGAGCAGCTATTGGGACCTCCCAATCCAGAAGGAGATAACCCAGAAAGCATCACCAGTGTGTTTATTACCAAGGTGGTATCACTATGCGCATGGGCGTGAGAAGTAACCTGGCATGTGGATGAATGTGTGTGTGTGTGTGTGTGTTAAGAGGGTTTTATTGAAATAAGTTTGTTCCCCCAACATGTTCATTTTTCGTGATTGTGTTAGTTTATAGCAAACCATCACATTACCATTCTTATTAGTGAGTTTTTGAAGGCAGCCTTACTTTGGAATGAATTAACTTTCCCACATTAATAGATTCTAATCAGAAATGGAATAGATCTCAATGAAAATTCATATAGCAGTTATTTTGTGAAAACCCCTGGCTGGTCAGCAGAGTTTCTGTGTTCTGTTTTCATCTTCAGTTTTGCAAAAGACTCTCCTAACAGCCAGTGAGCATATGAGACTGCCTGCAGTAGCTGCTGTGACTCCTCCTTGTCCAGTGAATGAAACCCTGTGGTGGCTGTAGTCCAGTCTGAACTGAGCTCAGTTTTAACATCTCTGCGCTTTACAGTTTGTGTTAGAGAGGGTTTTTGGAATTAAATGCCTGCATTGTGTTATTTCCCCAAGGCTTACTGTATTGATCTTCACTGTTAGAGGCTGTGTTTGCCCTGAGATTCTCACACAGAGTGTTTGTTGGAATGCTGCGTGTTGACGTTCCTCATCAGAAATACAGATTGCTGGTTTTAGCCATTTTGTCCTGGGATCAAGGCAGAGGGGACTGTTGTTTCCATTGGCAGATTCCTGGAGCTTACATAGTCTTTGTCCTTTCAGACGGGCCTCCTTCCTGCAGTGTTGACATCTGATCCCCAGGATCAGAGTGAGCCCAAACGTTTATTCTTGGTCTCCGTAGTGATATTTGCCTTATTCTGGGCAAGGGTAGGGAGATGGAGTCCAGACGGGACCCCTTCCCCTTTGTTACCTTCTCCAGGCTGTGTCTCCTGGGTCAGATGCTGCTGCTACAGGGATTTTGAACGTCAGGATGAGGAGAAAAGGAGCTGGCAGGCTGGAGGCTACAGATGCAGGTGTGGGCCTGCCAAGAAGCAGTACATCTAGGGAAGAGAGGACCTTGGGGCTAAAAGGGAGCTTGATAAAAACATGATTATAATGGAAGACTTCAGTCTGTCCGTTTTTCAGAATTATTAAGACCTGGTAGATAGACAGTGGTTAGGATACTTAGTTGAACTGAATGATGCTGCCTGCCATTATACTTGATTTAATAGAGACGTGTAGAATATTCCTCACACAAAATACATTTTTTTCTTATGTCCGTGAAACACTTAAAAAATCTGTCAGATGCTTTCAAAACTGCAACAATTTTTTGAAAGTAGACATTTTTCCAGGTCACATTTTCTGATCATCATGCAGAAAAATAAGGAGTAGACAAAAGTTGGCCGGGAAAAAAAATCTCAACTATTTGGAAATTAAGAAACTCAGTCCTAAATCACCTTGAATCAAAGAAGTCGTCTTTTCCACCTCACCCTCCTCCAGCCCCTGCATCCTGACTCTTAAGCCTACCCTATTTAAATGTTGAAATGAATTTGGTGGATTTCTAATCCATATGTAAACCAAAAAGTACCTGAGATGGATCTCAGTCAGTTTAGAAATTTATTTTGCCAACGTTCAGGATGTGTCCGGGAGAGACATTTGTGCCTTTCTCTAAAAATGGCTTTGAGGGCTTCAGTGTTTGAAGGGGGAAAGTCAGCTGAAGGGGAAAGGGGGAGGGTGTGGTCATCCACACATTGCCAAAGAAGGGGAGCAGGTGGGGGAAGAGTCAGTTCTGTGTTCATCTCACGCTCAGTAAGTCAGCACTTTATATAAGGTAAGGTGAACACGAGGTCGTTACCTGTGGAGATCATTAACCTTTCATCTGTAGCTCTGCTTAGGATCAAAAGGAGCCAGTTTCTTGCATGACTTAGCTTTCAGCTTAATTTTTTCCACTGGGCAGAGCCAACTGGGGTCCTGAGGTTTTTTTCTCCTTTCACATATATATGAAGGAAAATGGATAGGATGTTATTGATATCCTCATTGTAAAACTTCACATTACATACTGTGTGTGTGTGTGTGTGTGTGTGTATTTTTAAGGGTTAAACCTGCTGTGTGACCCTCAGTCAGTTACCCAGTTCACAACTGGAAATGAGTCCTTCCCGCTGTCCCTGCACAGGTCCTGGACCCCGAGAAGCAGGCGGACATGCTGGACTCGCTGCGGATCTACCTGCTGCAGTACGCCACGCTGCTGGTGGAGCACGCCCCCCACCACATCCACGACAACAACAAGAACCGCAACAGCAAGCTGCGCCGCCTCATGACCTTTGCCTGGCCCTGCCTGCTCTCCAAGGCCTGCGTGGACCCGGCCTGCAAGTACAGCGGACACTTGCTCCTGGCGCACATTATCGCCAAATTCGCCATCCACAAGAAGATCGTCCTGCAGGTATTTTGCAAGCCCCCTCCTGTCCACCGACATCCACGTGAATCCCACGTGGTGACTTGGCTCCCTGGCGCAGTCTCAGCCTCTCCTGTTGTCTTTTCCCAGTACCGATGAAAACCATGAAAACATAGACAGTCTGTGATTCCACTTAGAAGACCCTAGGGCACTCGAATTCAGAGAGACAAAGTAGAATAGAGATTGCGGGGGGCGGGGAGAGGGGGTGGGGAGCGAGTATTGAATGGTGCAGAGTTTCAGCCTAGGAAGATGCAAACGTTCCGGAGATGGTGGGGCTCGTGGCTGCACACAGTGTGAAGGTGCCAAGCGCCACTGGGCTGTGCACCCAAAACTAGGTAAGATGGTACATTCCGTGTTATGTGTGCTTTACCATTTGTGGGGAAAACACCCCACACTGTGAGCCCTCCCGTGACTGTCCACGCTTTCTCTTCCTCCCCCATTCCTGCTCTGCCCTCTCGTTCCTCCCTCCCGTGACTGTCCACGCTCTCCCTTCCTGCCCCATTCCTGCTCTGCCCTCTCGTTCCTCCCTTCCATGACTGTCCACGCTCTCCCTTCCTCCCCCGTTCCTGCTCTGCTCTCTCGTTCTTCCCTCCCGTGACTGTCCACTCTCTCCCTCCCCCATTCCTGCTCTGCTCTCTCATTCCTCGACAACTTTGCTTTTAAAAGGAAAGGCCACCCTTTCCATCTCAAGCTTCTCTGTCCGTTGCATTTTAGCTTCTGACTCTGACATTCCATGGCAGATGTTATAATATTCAGGGGCTCTAGCCCACTTCTCTTAGCCAGAGACAATAGGTACCTTTGGATCCGTATCTCATGAGCTTGCTGCCATGCAGCTCGTGTTGAGCACCTCTTCCTGGAGTCCCTCGGTGGTCTGGACTCTGAGGTCGGGCACCCCGGGTTTGAGTGTTGTTTCTTCCGCTCACGCGGTGTGTGCCCTTTGGCAGGTTAATGTCTCTGTGTGAGAATTAAATGTAATACTCCACTCGAGCTTGCAGCATTTGATCACTGATAGTTCTTTTCTTCCGTGAGACCATCTTTGATGGCTTTCCCCTGACATCTTTCTCTTGTGAACCTCTGTTGAACTCTGTACCCCCATCAAGCCAGTGGCCTCTCACATCCCCTCCCATGAGCCCTTGAGCTAGAACTCCAGCCTCGGGGCTGCACTGCCCTCCTCCAGTTGTCTCAGAGGCAAACACTCAAGAACTCTGTGACCTTCTCTGCTCTTCCCCAGTGCCCAGGCACCAGCAGGTTCTGCAGCTTCTAACACCCACCCTGTCGCCTCCTCCCTCAGGACTGGTCTTCTCTGCTTTCCCATGACCTCACATCAGGGCCTCACCTCTCAAACTTGAGTGACTACAGCTGCTGCTTCTCAGCGCCTCTCCTTTTGGCCCTGTTTACTTTATTTCCCATCCCGCAGCCGGAGGGAGATGAGCCGTGTACCTCCCTAACTCGCTGCTGGTTAGGTGGGACGTGGGATCCCTGCAGGGACTTGGTCTTATCTGTCTGCATACCCTGGCCTAGTTCAGCACGGGCGCATAGTAGGTGCATTTTAAATACTAGAATGAATGTATTCATTGGTATTAACGAAATGTATTCTGGTCTTAACGAAACAGAAAGCAACTAAGTTGTTTCCTAATAAGAAACTCCTAAGAAATTTTTAGAAAATTGTTTTGGAAAAGTATCATGTCTCGATACCAAGGGATTGTTTGTCTTCTTGTTTTTTAAAGCCTGCCTTCTCATCCTCCATAAGCGTCTCTTCCCTGTTTTAGGTTTTTCATAGTCTCCTCAAGGCTCACGCAATGGAAGCTCGAGCAATCGTCAGACAGGCGATGGCCATTCTGACCCCGGCGGTGCCGGCCAGGATGGAGGACGGGCACCAGATGCTGACCCACTGGACCCGGAAGATCATCGTAGAGGAGGGGCACACCGTCCCACAGCTGGTCCACATTCTGCACCTGATAGTGCAACACTTCAAGGTGTGTAGGAGGGACAGTGGGCTGCGGGGCACGCATCTTCAGGCATTCGCTCTGAACCTTCACCTTGTCTTGTTCTGCAATAATCAGGTGGTTCATCTTTTAGTAAGGCTACTCCTGGTTCATTGATTAGTTTATGTGATTAGTTTGTGTATGTGTGTATGGCTTTATCAGCATGGAAATTGCTGTAATATAGAGAATATGTGACAGGTGTGTGCATCTTTGCATCTAAGGCTACATTTCTGTCATAAATACTGTGCTTAGTTAACCCTTGTATGCTGCTGAGTTTGCACCTTAAGGTGGGAGATAGTCCTCATTGACTCCAGATTTCCGTCACCTGACTTGGAAAGTTACTCATGCTGCTGGCACCTCCTTCTCTATGACCAAATCACCCCTTTTGTGGGATTTATTTATATGTAAATGTTTCTTGTAGATTTGGGGTAGAAGAGAAAGGATTGAGTTGAAAGCAAATTCTTTTATAGCCACCTCTTAGAGGAACTTTGCTTTTTGGTATGTCTTAAACTTTTACACTGTCAAGTCTGAAGTTTGATACATGTGATTAGACTCAGCTTCCTGTCTGAAGAGAATTTGATTTTTCAAGACTGAAGGATACTATTGTAATGAGATGTGGTTGGGGCGGGGGAGGGTGATAAACACACATACGTAAGGCAGTGAGAATTTCCTCGGTAAGGTTAGGATTCCGAATTCTTGAGCATCAGGTTGGGTTGTGTGTGTATGTTGGGGCTGAGAGGCACGTCACGGGGGTGTGTGTGTGCACGTGCACACACGTGCATGCGCTCTGGGACCAAGGTCCCACGTTCCCGGCGTGATGCTGGCCCTGCGCCCGCAGGTGTACTACCCGGTACGGCACCACTTGGTGCAGCACATGGTGAGCGCCATGCAGAGGCTGGGCTTCACGCCCAGTGTCACCATCGAGCAGAGGCGGCTGGCCGTGGACCTGTCTGAAGTTGTCATCAAGTGGGAGCTGCAGAGGATCAAGGACCAGCAGGTAGGGGTGTCAGCCTTGGGGGTGCCCCGATCGTCTTCCTTCGACTTCTCCCTAGAAATCAATCAGTAAAGCCAAGCGCCTGTGTGTTTTTAAGCCGGATTCAGATATGGACCCAAATTCCAGTGGAGAAGGAGTCAATTCTGTCTCATCCTCCATTAAGAGAGGCCTGTCCGTGGATTCTGCCCAGGAAGTGAAACGCTTTAGAACGGCCACCGGAGCTATCAGTGCAGTAAGATCACGTGTGCCTCTGTATGGGTGCTGCGCAGTCTGCTGGGAGTTGGTTCGTTTATTCCCTACATTTAGAATGTGAGCTCGGTGCCCAGCTGCATTTAGGAGAGGCAGCTGGGAACAGCTACGCTTACCAGATTGAAACTCCAGGACATGTCACTCATGCCAGGGGTTCCCAGGTTACCAGACATGCTTGCCTCTGCGTTCAGTTCATACCATTAAAGTTCTGTCGATGATGGTTGATTACTTGCAGAAAGGCATCTAGAGAAACTCTTTGAAGTAAGGAGTTGATTAAGAACATGTGCCTGTGCTGAAATCAGTTTCTGAAAAGGACATGTGTTCTGTTTCACGAGGCAGCCACCAAGAGGGTCCTGGGTATTGCCCCTTGTGGAATGGTGGCCCTAGGAGCCCTGAGTCTGACCTCAGCTGGTGTCATGGACCTGCTGGCTTGTGGACACAGGCCTGGCTGCCCCACTTCCGGCTTCGTAGGCCTGAGGCTGAGCTCTTCTCCCACCCTCACCATCCCACATCTTGTGTGGCACCCACATCTGCCCCCGGCTCCTGTTAGAAACCTGGCACTGTCTGCACTTTGTCCATTGGCCTCTCTCCACACATCCGGTCCGGAGCAAGTCTCACTGACTGCCGCAAATAACCCATCCCTGCCTCCACACCGTGGTCCCAGCCTCTGTCACCCCTCGCAGGGTGACAGATGGGAACTGCTCAACTGCCTCCCTGTTCTTCTTTCTTTCCCTGTTCCTCTCTCCACCTCCACTTTTATTCCCTCTTGATTTTTCACAAAGCAGTCAGACTTCTACAAAAGTTTCCTTTCGCAACTTGAATCGGGAAGCTGGGGGAAGGGTACATGAGACCTCCGTAGTGTTTTTGTAAAAATCTCTTGTGGATCTTATAATCCTTTGGAAATAAAAAGTTGAAACAAGTCAGGTTGCCGTTCCCCCTGCTCAAGCCCACCCCTTGACCTTGGCACTCCAGGCCTGGGTGACCAGGCCCTGCCGATGGCTCTTGGCCCCCAGCACCATCTCGGTGCTCGGCCACGCGGGCTATCCCTCTGCTCTAAACGCACCGCTGGTTCTGGCCCTGTGCTCACTCAGGATGCGTACCCTGGCCTTTTCTCTCCACTGGGAGCCATCTCTCTTCTTTTTTCTCATGGCCACCTTTGTCTCAACCTAAAGACCTCCCTTGATGTTTTCCTGGGCCTTGGCACTTTTGTTCCCCATCACATGAGCCACTATTTTGCATGGCTGCTCTGTTGACTAGCCATCTGCCCTCCTGCTGGCTGTGTCAACTTCACCAGGGCAGAGACCACATCTGTCTTTGGTATCCCGAGCGTCCAGATCTGCCTCTGTCCCCAGGAGGTATCGCATACCCATTAGCTGGGTGAAAAGTCAAGCCTGGGTTGGAAATTCATGTTGCGATTATCTTCCTGCCTGAAAGGAGGTCCTTTTCCAGGTATTTGGGAGGAGCCAGTCACTACCTGGAGCGGACTCTCTCCTCGCCAAGCCCATTGACAAGCAGCACACAGACACTGTGGTGAACTTCCTCATCCGCGTGGCCTGTCAGGTATGGGATCCGAGTGCCTTGTGTTAGGGCTTCTGCAGACTGGAGGCTACTGACTAATGCCCCAGGAGGTTATCTGTGACCGTTTCGTCAAAAAAGATACAGACAAACCAAGGTCTGCGAGCTGGTTCTGTCATTTTCATACCACATGCACTTGATTTTGTGGCAGGTTAACATTTCCTAAATCTACCTATGTCTTATAATTGATATATATATATATATATTTTTTTTTTTTTGAATTGGAGTCTCGCTTTGTTGCCCAGGCTGGAGTGCAGTGGTGCGATCTTGGCTCACTGCAACTTCGACTCAGGTTCAAGCGATTCTCCTCCCTCAGCCTCCTGAGTTGCTGGGATTATAGGCACCCGCCACCACGCCCAGCTAATTTTTGTATTTTTGGTAGAGATGGGGTTTCACCACGTTGGCCAGGCTGGTCTCGAACTCCTGACCTCAAGTGATCCGTCCACCTTGGCCTCCCAAAGTGCTGGGATTGCGGGCATGAGTCACTGTGCCCAGCCTGATATGATTTTTTTAAAAAGCCTTTCACTCTTTCAGTGGTAATAAAATAATGCTGTGCCTTCTAATTGACGGCATGTTAGCATTGGTGGAATATGGTAGACCGTGATCTCGGCTGATCGTTTAACTTCCAGGTGTTTTTTTTGCATCCTTAAGATGGGAATGGTACACAATTCAGTAAAGGATGAGATGATCCAACCTACAGAAAGAATGGACATTTAGCAGTTTCAGTGCTTTAATAACTTGGGTTTATTTATCATTCATATCAATCTGTATCTTCATAGAATTTTTGGAAATTCATTTCTGAAACTTTATATTTCGAAAAACCATTGTAAATGAAATTTTCCTAAATTTTAAGTTCTTATTCCTGTTAAACAAAATAGTATATCTTACAGTTCTGTTGAGAATCTCCAAGTACTGAAAAGGATCTGCTGAGTACCTAACCAATAGATAATTCCTTGCCTCCCTGCAATGTGCAGGGAGGTCCTATGGGGAGCCAGCAGGGCCCACAAGCCATTGCAGGCCACCACAGATGCGCTGCAGAGGAGGGAGCCGTGAGGGGTCACGAGTCAGGCTGGTTGGGGAAGGTGTCCAACTGTGTGGAGGTCAGACGGAAAAGGGGTGGCTATGAGGTGAAGATCTGAGACAGCCAGGTGCAAGGGCCCGGGCACAGTTGAAACATGCTGTCACTGGAATGACTGTAAACTCGGATGCAGTGAAATACCAGCTGTAACTAGGATGAATTCCTAGGTTAATGACAACACCAACACGGCGGGGTCCCCTGGGGAGGTGCTCTCTCGCCGGTGTGTGAACCTTCTGAAGACCGCGTTGCGGCCAGACATGTGGCCCAAGTCTGAACTCAAGCTGCAGTGGTTCGACAAGCTGCTGATGACTGTGGTGAGTTCTAGTGTGTGAAGGGCCAGGGCAGGGCCACCAAGGCCACTAGCGGATACTGTCACCTGGGCAGGGACTGGACGTTTGTGGATCACTCTGAGCCTGACCCCTAAGCCCCAAATCTCCTGTCCCTTTTGCCAGTCGTGGCCTCTCCCTTGTTGCCCTCCCCTGCTGATACCAGGGAGAGAGTTTGACTAATAGATGATGGCTTTGCTCTTGAGGCTTGAGAAGTTCGAGACCAGTCTGAGCAGCATAGTGAGATCCCAACTCTACAAAAGAGAAGAGAGAAAATTAGCTGGGCATGATGGTGTGAGCTTGTAGTCCCAGCTACTCAGAAGAGGCTAAAGCAGGAGGGTTGGCTGAAGCTGGGAGGTTGAGGCTGCCGTGAGCTGTGATTGGTGTCACTGCAATACAGCTTGGGAGACAGAGCAAGCAAGACCTGGTCTCTTAAAAAAAAAAAAAAAAAGAAAGAAAGACTATGGCTTCGGAACTTGAGCTCTCACGCTGGCCCCAACTACACATAGGAGTGTTTAACCTTAATACAGTCGTCTTGCATTTTGTGGACTCGTTCCTAAAACTTACCTACCATTTGGCTTGGGATAAGCATTTTCAGCTGACTGTTGCAACAACCTTTAGGATGAGCTTTGGATTTTTAAAACAGATTTTAATGATAGAGCTATAATTTGTTATTAGGAGCTAGTCCCAAAATGCTAACTATTTTATTTTGGTGGCTGTTTTTTGGCTTATAAAAACCTTGATCCTGTACTTTTCTGGTGGCAACAAAAGCTATTTTCTTGCCTTATCCAGATTTGTTTTTCTAGCTCTTGATAGGATTTGGAAACCTTTACTACTGAGGTTATAAAACCTATTGCAAGCACTTGTTATTCTGGACTACGGAGACCATGTTGCTTGTATTTGACCTCTGCTATGAACCATGAACTGTGTCTTCTATTTTATCCCGTTTCTTTGGTTTGTTTTTATTAGTTTTTAGTGCTGCCATCATCTGTTAGTTGATTCCATGATACGTAGTTTGAAAGATGCTTCTCTTTGGAAAGATGTTTGTTTTTTGTTTTTGTTTCATTTTTTTGAGACAGTCTCACTCTGTCGACCAGGCTAGAGAGCAGTGGCACAATCTCGGTTCACTGCAACCTCCTCCTCCTGGTCTCAAGCGATTCTCATGCCTCAGCCTCCTAAGTAGCTGAGACTACAGGCATGTGCCACCATGCCTGGCTTTTTTGTGTGTGTGTGTGTTTTTAGTAGAGACAGGGTTTTGCCACGTTGACCAGGCTGGCCTCAAGTGATCCATCCACTTCAGCCTCCCAAACTGCTGGGATTACAGGCGTGAGCCACTGAGCCCAGCCTGGAAGGATATTTGTATTTTTATATCTTAAGAAAATGGGAAGAGAAAAGCAAAATTCATTGCAGGAACTTTTTTAGAATTTTATCAATTTCAAGATGTTAATATTGTTTATTATAGAATATTAATATTTTAATGAGTCTTTTTAAAAGAGTTTGAGTACATATTTAAAGTGATTTTATAAAGTAATCATACTTGTAAAATCCGGTTGTCATTCTCTAGTGGTTTTTTTACTTAGTCTCCAAATAATTAATCCAGTGCTAGATTTCGCCAGATCTTGTTTCTAGAATTTGTTGTCGTTGAGTGTTCGTTTCCTCTGTGAGTGGCCTGTGTTCTCCATTCCAGGAGCAGCCAAACCAAGTGAACTATGGGAATATCTGCACGGGACTAGAAGTGCTGAGCTTCCTGCTAACTGTCCTGCAGTCCCCAGCCATCCTCAGTAGCTTTAAACCCCTGCAGCGTGGAATCGCCGCCTGTATGACCTGTGGAAACACCAAGGTGTTGCGAGCCGTCCACAGCCTTCTCTCACGCCTCATGAGCATTTTCCCAACGGAGCCGAGTATGTGGCCTTCCCACCGGTGCTTTTCTTTCAGAGTGGTCAGTGGGCGCGCTTGCTGTGAGAGCACTCATCCTCCAGTTACTGTGTCGAGCGCTTTGTTTTTGCTTTCCTTTCTACTTGACGTGGAGACATAGAATGGGCCGGGCGCGGTGGCTCACACCTGTAATCCCAGCACTTTGGGAGGCCAAGGTGGGCGGATCACCTGAGGTCAGGAGTTCGAGACCAGCCTGATCGATGTGGAGAAGCCCTGTCTCTACTAAAAATACAAATTTAGCCGGGTGTGGTGGTGCACACCTGTAATCCCAGCTACTCAGGAGGCTGAGGCAGGAGAATCGCTTGAACCCAGGAGGTGGAGGTTGCGGTGGGCCGAGATCACGCCATTGCAATCCAGCCTGGTCAACAAGAGCAAAACTCTGTCTCAAAAAAAACATAGAATGGCAGCTGTCATTGAATTTTGTCGGCTTTGGAAATTCAGTTCTTCATCAGTTGAACATTATTTTTTTAAGCTACTAAAGAGAAGTCAATTTAAAATATTAAAGTATTCAAATGTTGAACATTTGGCAGGATCAAATTTTAGCATATTATAAATAAGTATATTTCAAGGAGATTCTGTTAGGTTTTTTGAGTATTCTGCACATAGCTGTGTAGAATGGGAACCAGCCTAGAGGTGAGGCCCATACCCTCCTGCAGGGAGAGAAGTGCCTGTGCCAATCCCTCCTGATACCCAAGCAGCCAGCATTCAGTCCCTGGCATCAGCACTGGTGGGCCCACGAGCCCTAACCACAGTGCCTGGGTCCCCACCCTGTAGGTACTTCCAGTGTGGCCTCCAAGTATGAAGAGCTGGAGTGCCTCTACGCAGCTGTTGGAAAGGTCATCTATGAAGGGCTCACCAACTACGAGAAGGCCACCAACGCCAATCCCTCCCAGCTCTTTGGTGAGTGTGCGTCTGTCCTGGTGTTCGTGGTGGCTCAGTTTGGCATCTGTCCCTGCACACTGGATGTGCTTCCCTTTTGGGAAGGGGCTCTGGTTGTTGGGCAGAGCTTTGAGCCGCTGCATTGTTCAGGTGTCTGTTGCCTGGGGCCCTCAAGGCTGCCGTCTCCTGTAGACCACCCCCCTTGGCCGATGCTTGCTCTATGCTCCCTCCTCAGCCTCCAGCACAGGCTTTGGTGTGAGGGATGTTGCCAGGGTGTGTGTGACTTGCCACCCTGGTGTCACCCCAGTGTCACACTAAACAGGCACCGCAAGAGCTACATGAGAATGTGTGGACTCTGCCTTTCACCACCAGCCCGCCTGTGAGTCAACCACTCACAAGATGAGAACTTGTCCCATCTCATTGCTTAGGCTCTGGCTGGCCCAGGTGAGACAGAAACTGCCTCCCTCCTTAGGTGATCAGGGCAGCTGGGTCACTCTGGCCCCAGGTACGCAGGAGTCAGATTTATAGATGTGCCCTCAGCTTTGTGGCAGACACATGTCTTTGATCCTAGACTTCGGGTTAGTGCCTCAAAATTTATTTTCTCCTTTAATTACATATTCATTGGGTGAAATTTTGAAAATACAAATGAAGGAATACTAAGTAGAAGTCACCTGTCAGGCTCTCTTCCCAATAGCAATCAGTTCCAGTATTTTAGAGTGATGATCGTGTTCTATACACATGTATACAAATACCTATATAGATAGCCCTTGTTAGGCAAACGCTAGTCTGCATTTGCCAACTGAATGTATTTGGATGAGTTCCTTGCTCCAGACTTGCCAGAAGCTAAGGGAATTTGGTTAAAATGGTGTCCCTTGCTCTCTTAGCTTGCTCTCTCTCTTCAGACAGCAGCCAGGTGCGGAGAGTGAGGAGTGCTTCTGGGTCTTTTTCTAAGTAGGGTCACCCTGCAGAAGATCCCAGCTTTCATCCCAGGGCAGCACAAATGTCTTCTTCCGCTGCTCATTCTCTGGAGGACTCTCGTTGAGAAGGGCTGACCTCATGGGCCCTGCCTCCCTCCCTCCTCTGTGGGGTATCAAAGGCCAGGGGCAGCCTCAGGGTAAGGTGGGCCTGGGGAGTTGACCACACCGTCGTCACCGTGCTGGATCTGGGGTGTAGTCTCCGCCATCTGCTCCATAGAGGAAAGCACGGCACTCGGGAACCACAGGGTATACCCCGTTTCCGTCACTGTCATCAACTGTCATGGGTTGCCTGGGTTACAACCGGGCTGGTCGTATGTTGACTGCTCTGGTTAAGAATTGGTCTTTTAACAAAGCTAGCCTGAAATCACCTCGTAACTGGCAAACACTCTTTGGTTGATCCATGAATACAGATTTAAAGTTTAATGAGTAGGGCCGGGTGCAGTAGCTCATGCCTATTAATCCCAGCACTTTGGGAGGCTGAGGCAGGCGAATTACTTGAGCTCAGGAGTTTGAGACCAGCCTGGCCAACATGGCGAAACCCTGTCTCTACTAAAAATACAAAAATTAGCCGGGCATGGTGGCAGGCGCCTGTAATCCCACCTACTCGGGAGGCTGAGGCAGGAGAAGTGCTTGAACCCCGGAGGCAGAAGTTGCAGTGAGCCGAGATTACTGCACTCCAGCCTGGGCCACAGAGCGAGACTTGACATCAAAAAAAAAAAAGTTTAATGCATAGGTCAAAATCAAGGTGATTGTCACAATGCCGATTATGAAAGATAATTCTTCCATACACTCGGTGTTTCTGTTCTAGTATTGGCTTTGCTGATTTTTATTGATCTTAGGCCGTTTTTCAGAATGAAGTGCAAATTGAATTCGAAGATAGTTGACATGTCCTCTAGATGGCTGGATTTTTTGAAAAAGGTTTTCTTCCTCTTTTTCTTATTTTTCCCAAACCTATTATAGGACTAAAAACTTAGGGTAATTTGCCATAACCCAAAAATAAAATCCAGAACTCAAGGTAAGAATGTTGTTTCTGCTGAAGCACAAAAATCATTTCTCATTCATGGTGATTTGAACTAGTTGAGAATTAGGAGTGAAAATACAATGTTTCATTCAGAATGTAGCATGAGCCATGTAAAAGCTCACAGTGTTGACACTGGGATTAACTATGCCTTTGTTAGAATACGTTGTTTTAAATAATGCGTTGCTTTCACTCCATTTTTCGTGGTGGTTACTGTTCTGTAAAACACCTGGCAATTTCTACATTTTAGGGACCCTTATGATCCTCAAGTCTGCCTGCAGCAACAACCCCAGCTACATAGACCGGCTGATCTCCGTCTTTATGCGCTCCCTGCAGAAAATGGTCCGGGAGCATTTAAACCCTCAGGCAGCATCGGGAAGCACCGAAGCCACCTCAGGTGATGTGCTGGCCACTGGGGGCCTTTCCTCAGACTCTGATGAACAGAGAACAGACTCTGTTGTGCAGGCTAGGACTGAACTCTAAAGGGAATGTGCGTTCACCAAGTCCTGTTGTTTGGTTGTAATTCATTACCATTTGCTCTTCAGTGTAGGAGTTTAAAAAACAACTCATTGTTAAAAATTGACTGTTATTAAGCTGGGTGTGGTGGCACACATGTGGTCCCAGCTCCTCAGCGGGCTGAGGCAAGAGGATTGCTTGAGGCCCAGAGTTAGAGGCTGCTGTGAGCTGTGATCACGCCTGTGAATAGCCACTGCACTCAGTCAGTGCAAAAGATTGAGACTTTCTCGCTCTCTCTCACCCGCACGCACGCGCACACACACACTCCTACGTAGTTTTAAAATCTGCGAATGTAAGAACACAGAAATTTAAAAATAGTTGGCCTTTTATATGCTGCATTCACCACTGAGAGTTACCAGTGCTTACTATGAAACAGAGATTGCTTAATCAGAGTTGCTGTTTCTGAAGAGTTAAGTCACAGGTTCCAGAGCTGAGCAGTGGGCTCCTGGAATCTGGATGCTATGTGGAGGTATGGGGCTGCCTGGCAGGGGCTGTGGTGGGCCTAGCTTCTGGGTGCACCTCAGAGTACAGGGGCCATGATTAGGACTTCAGAGCTGGGTGTGGAGAGGCCAGGGCCGCCTGCACTGGTCCATCAGTTCCCTCATCCCTCTCCCTGCGGATAGGGCTACACTTTCAAGATGCACATAAGAACGTATGAGTGCTTCAAATCCCAGAGCTCTAGTTGCAGGAGAAAACATTGAGGGGGAAAATGGGCAGAACCCAGCATGCCAGGCGAGGCTGAGTGGCTACCTGTTTAAATCAATGTGTAGAGACCCCTGGGTTTGTTCTTTCTTGGGGCAAGCAGGTACAAGCGAGCTGGTGATGCTGAGTCTGGAGCTGGTGAAGACACGCCTGGCAGTGATGAGCATGGAGATGCGGAAGAACTTCATCCAGGCCATCCTGACATCCCTCATCGAAAAATCACCAGATGCCAAAATCCTCCGGGCTGTGGTCAAAATCGTGGAAGAATGGGTCAAGAATAACTCCCCTATGGCAGCCAATCAGGTGAGCGGGGACGGTGTGCCATGTGATCTCCCTTTCAATAAAAGAAAATTCAAGCCTCAACTTCTTGGTCTTTCTGAAACTTGAAGCAAAACATTCTTGTCTGCTGTAATTGCACTCACAGCATCTTTTCTTGATTAAGATGGATTTTTGCCTGTAATCCCAGCACTTTGGGAGGCCGAGGCGGGCAGATCACGCAGGAGATCGAGACCATCCTGGCTAACACGGTGAAACCCCGTCTCTACTAAAAATACAAAAAATTAGCCAGGTGTGGTGGTGGGCACCTGTAGTCCCAGTTACTCGGGAGGCTGAGGCAGGAGAATGGCGTGAACCTGGGAGGTGGACCTTGCAGTGAGCCGAGATCACGCCACTGTACTCCAGCCTGGGCAACAGAGCGAGACTCCTTTCCAAAAAAAAAAAAGGATTTTTTCAGTGCAATTAACAGATGTTAAATAGAAACTGAGTTGCTCATCTTAATGTGGCTTTGCTCCTCTTAAAATGTTAAATGAAGACTCACTTCTGTTATCCCAGCACCTTGGGAGGCCGAGGCAGGCAGATCACTTGAGATCAGGAGTTTGAGACCAGCCTGGCCAACATGGTGAAACCTCGTCTCTACTAAGAATATAAAAATTAGCCAGATGTGGTGGCACATGCCTGTAATCCCAGCTGCTCAGGAGGCTGAGGCAGGAGAATCGCTTGAATCCAGGAGGCAGAGATTGCAGTGAGCCAAGATCACACCACTGCACTCCAGCCTGGGCATCACGGCGAGAGACTTAGGAAAAAAAAAAAAAGTTAAATGAACCTTGTTACCTTTTTATGGCAATAAAGATAAGACAAATAATACTAAAAGTAATAATAGAGACTATCATTTCACTTAGTGAGATGCTTGCAAACTTCTGATTTGTTTTATAATTTATAGTTGCTTTCTTTCTAAAATGAGCTGTAGCCCCTATGAAAATTGTATTGGCATGTCTTGATTTTAAGCATCCAAAGATAAAGCCATCTTTGCCTTACTGTTTAGGAATGACCTTGTTTTATTGTGCTTGACAAAATTGTAGGAGCTTAAAAAATACTAAAGCAGATGGTTGAAATACTTTTAACTGCATCTTTTCTCAAATTTCATACAGACACCTACACTCCGGGAGAAGTCCATTTTGCTTGTGAAGATGATGACCTACATAGAGAAACGCTTTCCGGAAGACCTTGAATTAAATGCCCAGTTTTTAGATCTTGTTAACTATGTCTACAGGTAATTACAGCAATTAATCAAGTATTACATGTATTGGTCCTTAATGTGCTCCCGGCGAGCCAGCCATGAGTTTAATCTTTTACTCATACCTAAGTTTAAAATATTCATTTAAATACTAAATTGTGTGACCTACTTTGGTGTCATTAAAGGACCTTTTGTTGTAATGCTGCATGAGCCTGCCACGATTTATAAGATACCCTTGGTTTTCCTAGTGGCATTTCAGCAAGTTCACGTCCGCATCCACCTGTTTCTGCTTGTTTGCATATGGCTTGGGGGAGTCCATCGTCTTGTTTCTCTCTGACTCGGTGTTACAGGGATGAGACGCTCTCTGGCAGCGAGCTGACGGCGAAACTTGAGCCTGCCTTTCTCTCTGGGCTGCGCTGTGCGCAGCCACTCATCAGGGCAAAGTTTTTCGAGGTTTTTGACAACTCCATGAAACGTCGTGTCTATGAGCGCCTGCTATATGTGACCTGTTCGCAGAACTGGGAAGCCATGGGGAACCACTTCTGGATCAAGCAGTGCATTGAGGTAGGAAGACTCGGCTCACATCTGTGGCCAGGGGGCAGCTGTGGGTTTTCTGAGTGGGGGCTCCAAAGCCAGGAGGTGTTCACACACACTGAGATGAACTGGAAATCTCCAGCACAAACCTGCTTCTGATCTCTAGGAAGAAATAAAGACTTCAGGGCAAGCGTTTCAGTGCCAGGCACTGGGTCAGGTGCTAAAAATACAGAGAGAGACGAGATATTGGCTGTGGCAGGTCCATGTGAATTGGTCAGGGGAAGGGCACAAGCCAGGAGTCCTCTACTCCCTCCTTCCTTTGCCCCTGAGCATCTGCTCCCTCACTGCGGGTGACAGTTCAGGGCCCACTGGACACCGCCATCTCTCATTAGGACGATGGGAACTGTTTCCTTAGTGTTCAACCACCTCCCCTCCTACTGATAAATTTTCTCTGTTGTTACAAAATTATTCTTAATAAAGCAGGTAACCATACTCTTTCCATTGTGCGTGGCATAAAATCCAGCCTGCAGGCTATGGTCCCCAGGTGACTGGCCCCCCGCCTCTCTCTGCATCCCCATCTCATCTCTCTCTCCCTCTAGCATCCGTCTCCAGTGTGCTGGCCTTCTGTGTTCTTGAACTTGCCTCACTCTTGCTACTCAGGCTAATGTGCAGCTCCCTTTAATTCCGTCAGTCCACCCTGTTTCCTGGTCACGTTACCACAGTGAGCACGTGCCTGGCTGTGTCCTTCCCTCTGACACTTCAGCTCCTTGAGGCAGGGGACACCATCTCTGTGCAATCGACAGATGAGGCTGCAGGGCCTCCATGACACCCAGTGGGTGCTCAGGGAATATTTGCCCAAGATGGCAAGAGTGGCGTAGCCAGGCAGTGTGCGCATGGCCCATGGGGAAGCATGGTGGAGTGGGGAGTGGCCCAAATCCAGAGGCAGGCAGGAGCTTCAGTACGTCACGGAGGGGCTGGTGACTCACACGGGGGAGCCTGCGCTGTCGCCTGAGGCTGCGGGAAGCCATGGGTGGGTGGACCGGGGTAAAGGGCCACTGTGTGGAAAGAGATGGTTCAGGAGGACGAGTCCAGGGTTGAGGTGGGAGCAGGCACTGCCTAGGTGTTCAGGAGTTAAGAGTGGCAGGGCCTGGCGTGTGCTATGAGTGAAACAGAGGTCTTCTGTATGTGGACAGTGCCTTGGAGGGGATGGAGGAGAAAAAGCCCATCTGGTCGAGGAGAGGTGGGAAAAGGTGCTGAGCTCATACTTGTACCTGCAGAGTCAGAGGTGCCCAAGTGAGGGGCATCTGGGAGATAAGTCTAGATGCCCTGAATGCCACACGCATGCCTTGGTTCTGTCTCCTTTCCGCACCCCTTGCAGCTGCTCCTGGCTGTGTGTGAGAAGAGCACCCCCATTGGCACCAGCTGCCAAGGAGCCATGCTCCCATCCATCACCAACGTCATCAACCTGGCCGATAGCCATGACCGTGCCGCCTTCGCCATGGTCACGCATGTCAAGCAAGAGCCCCGGGAGCGGGAGAACAGCGAGTCTAAAGAGGAGGTGAGGCCCTGCACCCCACGGGCAGAATCCCAGAGAGGAGGTGAGGCCCCGTGCCCCATGGGCAGAATCCTCGGTCCTGCAGAAGAAGTTTTTGTATCAGCTTTAGATTTATTTCGGGCATGAACAAGGTATAAAAACCTGTATACCTGAAAGCTCCGAATGTGGTACCTAAGTTCAGCTAGGTTTTTTTTTTTAATTAGTTAGAATTGAGAAGCATCTTGCACTGCCATTTGGTTTCGAGATGGATCACATTACCATGAGATAGTACTGTTGAGAACAGAACATTTCCCTGTGCTGTGATTTTTCTCTCCGGGTGAGAAAAGCCCGTGTTCATTACAGAAAGCGCTGCCTGGGGGAGTGCTGCCTGTCACATAGGGGCTGGGGCTCTAGTTGGTTCCTGCAGCAGCCTACTCAGAACCCATGTCTCTGCTTAGTCCCAGGACAGGCAGCAGGGAGCCTTTGCTCCTCCAAGAACCTGTCCCAAGGCTGATGCCTTAGTCTTGGTGGCTCTCTGTCCTTCATGAAGAAGTGGCTGCCACTGTTCCTGGCAGGGATTTTTGTAGACTGTGTCTCCTTAAGGTCGTTGGTTTTTGGAGGCTCAGCCCGCATGGAGGCTGCGTCTTAGGAGACAGTCACCTCGTGCTGCAGGCGGGCCCGGCACCCTCTTTGTTCGAAAAGGGATGGTGCATTCCCTCTTCCATGAGCAGGATGTCTACTCATTAACCATTGTTAAATTAAGTTTTTTTCCTGTTGCTGGAACACTAGATTATCTGGGCGCTTGGCCTTCTCTTCCTGTGTGAAATAAATTGCCAACTCTGAAGGTCTTCGTTTTCAAGGGCACACACCAAATTGTTGATACCTGACTTCAAGGAGTAGTTTGAGTGTTGACTGACTTCTCCAAACCTTCAGACAGAAATAAGGTGTATTCCTTTCTGGGAAGAGTCATATAAAACATTGCACCAGCAACACGCTCCGCTGTGGCCCGGAGGCGATCTCAGTCTGAGCAAGCCAGGCGGCTGGGCGACCGTGTTGCATTTTGAGAAATGATAGACTCTGATTCCATTAGTCTTTATTATTTTTACTGTTTAAAGTTGATTCTTTTAAATTTTGCTGTTCACAACCCAAATATGAAAGCACAGTGGTGGCTTCTTTATAGTTATTTTTTAAGAGAGAGAGATCTGGTCTAGTTAATCCGGGTTTTATTTTAGGATGGAAGATTATTTAAAGACTTGCACACTTCCAGGAAATGAACACAAATTTTACTCGCCAAAATTGTAACAAGAGGAGGTGTGTTTATTGGCTTTTCTTGAAGGCTTTGACTTTTTGGTTTTGCTTGCTGCTTTGTTTCTTAGGATGTAGAGATAGACATTGAACTAGCTCCTGGGGATCAGACTAGCACACCCAAAACCAAAGAACTTTCGGAAAAGGACATTGGAAACCAGCTGCACATGCTAACCAACAGGCACGACAAGTTTCTGGACACCCTCCGAGAGGTGAAGGTCTGTATGCAGCTTGAAAAGGATTCATTGCTTTCCTCCCATGGATGGTTGAAAGCCTAAATCAGGATCATTCCACAGCAGTGTAACTTTTTCTGTTTCTTTCCTTTTTCTTTTTGAGATGAGATGTTGCTCTGTCACCCAGCCTGGAGTGTAGTGGCACAGTCACACCTCACTGTGGCCTCAGTCTCCAGGGCTCAATCGATCCTCCCACCTCAGCCTCCCAGGTAGCTGGGACCACAGACATGAGCTGCCACGCCCAGCTAATTTGTTAATTTCTTAGTAGACACAGGGTCTTGATATGCTGCTCAGACTGGTCTTGGACTCCTGGACTCAAGTGATCCACCCAACTTGGCCTCCCAAAATGCTGGGATTACAGGCGTGAACCAGAGATTTGGGAGTGTCACAGTGTCTTATAGGAGAAAATAGGAAAAAAATTAATTTCTCCACCACCATCTCTTAAAAGAAACAGTAACACTGTGTACAAAAAATGTGTGAGGAGACATAATAATGTTGGATTATTTTTCAATTGCACTAAAAGAGGAGAAAATGAGAAATTAATTTGCTAAATCAAGCCCACTTTGTGGAGTGGGGGCCTCCAGGTGCGTTTGTGTTTGAAATCTAGCCAGGTAGAGACTCTCTAGCTTCTGCAAACTCTCAGGGAAATAACGGGTCTGACTGGTTTTACGTCATGACTGTGAAGGACTGGTTGAAGCGCCACGTACCAGGTTACTTTTGATAAGGAGGTGTTTTTCTGTTCTTTCAAGAGCTGGGTGGTTATTCTAATTATTCTGTTCATATCAGGAGCTAGGTGGGAAAAAAGCATGAACTACTTCTCACAAGTGACTTTTACATTAGAATCTTTTGGTGACCTGTGCTGAACTTGTGCGTGGGATCAGTCTTTGAACTTGTACCTGAGTGACACCAGTGTCATCTTAGATAAGCACCCCTCTTGCTTTTCTGTGGTATGGAGCGGGAAGCAGAGCAGCCTGATAGATGTGAGTGATAGCTCTCATGTCATGGGCCAGGTACTTCTTTTGTTTGTTTGTTTCAGACAGGGTCTCACTCTATTGCTCAGGCTGGAGTGCAGTGGCACGATCTCCACTCACAGCAACCTCTGTCTTCCAGGTTCTAGCAGTTCTCCTGCCTAAGCCTCCCGAGTAGCTGGGATTGCAGGTGCCTGCTACCACACCTGGCCAATTTTTATATTTTTAGTAGAGACAGGGTTTCACCATGTTGGCCAGGCTGATCTTGAACTCCTGACCTCAGGTGATCTGCCTACCTCAGCCTCCCAAAGTGCTGGGATTACAGGCACCTTAATAGACCCCTGTCCCTACTGCTGCCACCACCAGAAAAAAGAGCTGTAAGTACATGTCCTGAAGCCCAAAGGCTGCCTTTGGCTGATGGTCACCATGACACATCACCTCGTCGTCAGCTGCCTGCGCCTCAGTTTTATCCTCAGCGCCTGGTGGGAGTGCCATCAGGAGAGGTGGTTCCAGCAGTACATCATGTGAGGGGTAGGGATATTTGGTTTTACTCATTAAGATTTTTGTCTTGGTTGAATTGGTCACCGCTGTACACCTCCACGTCCTCTGTGGGGCTGTGGCTGCTCTCTGGATGGTGGCTGGGTTAGACCAGATGTGGCTGAGAATCTTGGCAAATCTCACGGAGAATCTTGCCTGCAGGTGTCCCCATGGTCTTCTCTTAATCTGAGGCTTCATAGCCTGAGTCTCAGGGCCCATCTGTGTCACTCTTTGTAAGAGGATTGCTCAGGCCAGAGCTGCAGATGTCGTCAGCCATACTGTGCCTAGGTGTGTGTCACAGAGGAGAGCCTCGAACTCAGTGCCCAGCACAGGTGGGCACACCATTGCCCCTGAGCCCCGTGTGCCACCCGCTTGCTGCATGTCCTTGGGCTGCTCTGACAGGGTATGCCCACCTTTTAGCAGGGTGTGGCTCTCAGGGTACTTGGGTGCGACTTAATTCTTCCCTTCTCCTTGGGTTCTTCTGTGTCTTATTTTCCTCTTTCACCTTTTACATTTGATCTCATTTCGTCGTTTCAGCATCTTTTTACTGAGAGCCTGCTCTGTGTCAGGTGATGTTCTGGACGCTGGAAACACAGTGGTAGCTGTTCCTCAGCAGGTTGTACGCCCTAGTGAGGGGAAATAATGAACAGAAAGAAGTGCTAATCCCTCAGGAGGCGAGATGGGTGCCGGGGTAAAGCAGCCAGGGCTGGCGGGGATTGGAGAGGGTGGTGGTGTGTTATTTCATCTTCTGTGTATTTATGGGAGTTGAGATTTTTCATGGAGCAAGATGGGGTTATAAATCATTGTGTTTGTTATTTCCGCCCTGACGTTTTCCTTCCTGGAGCTCCTCTACTTTGTGAAGTGGTCAGGTGCCACCGGCTCTTCTTGGACTCTTGGATTCTAAATCTGGAGAGGGCGGTCCTCACCCCAGGCCCACAGGCTCGTTCTCCACCTCATTTCCCGGTCCGGCCATTGTTCCCTGTGAGAAGCCTGTGGAGGCAGCAACCCCTCATTGGGCTCTTTTGACGCTGTGAGGACCACGGGGTCCTCACCCCTGCACCTCTTTGGGACGGTGTGTACATCAGAACAAGCTGTGGACTTGGGGAGCAGGAGCCGATTGTAATCCTGAGACACAATCCTGAACGCTGTAATCCTAAATGTTGAAATCCCTAAAGATCAAAATTTCTAACCTCTGAAATCCCGAAAATATAATGCTAGAAAAAATAATTTTAAAATGCTTTAAAACATACACAGACACACCCCAAATAATACTTTACTAGGTAGGTTTCCAGGCATTCCTTAGTCAAGTGGACTCCATAAACATGGCACCCATAGGTATCTCCTTAAACCATGCAGACAGTAGCAGGTCATAGTTCTGACCTGATGCAGCTGTCCTATGATGATGATTTTCAGGAATTTTGACCTTTGAGGATTTCAACACTCGGGGTTAGGGCGTTTAGGATTGTGTTTTGGGATTCTGATCCAAACCCCCACAGTTGGAGTTGAGCAGCTTTATCAGCAGGTCAGTGACCTCACTGGGCCCTTTGGTTCTCCCCAGCTCTTGGCCTCTGCTAAATTGACGTGGAGCTGAGAGCCCCCGACAGGCTGGTCAGGGTGAAGTGTGTGACCATGTGAGGGGAACTGTACTCACTTCATCACAGCCCTCCTCACAGGGCAGCCTGATGCCAGATACTTGGGAGCGTTCTTTATCTAGATGTTTTCACCCATTTTCCTTGAACGGTTTGTATCCTTTGTGTCTCTTTTTAGTAGAAACATTAATGTGCCTATGGTTTCCCCTCTTGGGTTTGCTGTAGGAGAGATGAATGCCTAATCACGTCCCTGGCACTGTGCCTCCATGCTGGGGCAGCAGGGACTGTGTAGCTGTCAGCATGTGCCCCAGCCCCTGGCGCTACTGCCTGATGCCATGTAGGGTGTCTCCTGTGGGCTAGAGCAGCCTCAGGCAGACTAGAAACCTGGCTGTTAATAAGGAATGTTGGCAGCTGATTCAGATCAGATCTTCAAAAACAACAGGCCTGGGACAAGATAAACACATCTGTGGATTTGCTGTCCATTCCATTCTCTTATGTTCTGTTTCAGTCTGTCTCAGTCATTTTATCCTGCCTCTTGTCTGCTGCCAATTGCAGAGACTGAACTTTGAGTTCCTGATTTGTTCTTCAGAATAATACCTGTTGGCAAATAGTTTATGTCATATACTGTGTGTTTTCACTTTCCTGTTTTCAGTGACCTGGGCCTCGGTGACATCTGTGTCCCTCTGAGTTACTCCTTCAGTCTTGTCAGTGTTTTTGTCCTTCTTGGATATGATGGGATCAGTAGTGTTAGGAAACCCCCGTAAAAACTAAGGACAAATGCAGGCGCCATTGCTGAGTCCCTTGGGATGCCTGGGCTTGGCTGCTAAGTGCGTGTGGCCTTCCACCACTCGGGATCCGTGGGCTTTACTCCAACATGGCATTTTCTTAGATCTCTGAAACTTTGAAAGTGGAGGAGCGTCTAATAATGTATGAGATGGATCATGGGTGTCTTCTGAGCGTGGGTGTGCGAGACACCCGCAGCCCGTGGCCATCTCAGCCTGTTCTTGTCTTTCTGTTCATAGACTGGAGCACTGCTCAGCGCTTTCGTTCAGCTGTGCCACATTTCCACGACACTGGCAGAGAAGACGTGGGTCCAGCTTTTCCCCAGATTGTGGAAGATCCTCTCTGACAGACAGCAGCATGTGAGTGTATCTTTAAAATCCTGTTTTGGAAAATTGTAGTTTTAGCTTTTAATAAGTATTCGTAAAAAAAAAATAGTCTTGAACAAGTTTCAGAGAACGTGGAAACCGCTGGCTGTCACTCAAGAGCGAATTAGGAAAGGTATTCTCAGATGCATCGAGAAAGACAGCAAGACTTGCCAGTTTTCGAATGAAGGCCTAAATGACATGCGCTTTGGTTTCAGGCACTCGCGGGCGAGATAAGTCCGTTCCTGTGCAGCGGCAGTCACCAGGTGCAGCGTGACTGCCAGCCCAGCGCGCTGAACTGCTTTGTGGAAGCCATGTCCCAGTGTGTGCCGCCAATCCCCATCCGACCCTGCGTCCTGAAGTACTTGGGGAAAACACACAACCTGTGGTTCCGGTCCACGCTCATGCTGGAGCACCAGGCTTTTGAAAAGGGTCTGAGTCTTCAGATTAAGCCAAAGCAAACAACGGAGTTTTATGAGCAGGAGAGCATCACCCCACCGCAGCAGGTGAGGGTGCGCCTCAGTCTGTTAATTACCTCTTCCCTGCTAGTGACTCCACACTTTAAATACTGCTTCCAAATGATTTCAAATGACAACACAGTGAAACTGCATTTTTAGAGGGGGAGAAAAAGTCCCTGTCCTGAGCACTCAGGACCCTTGCTTTGTGTTTTCAGGAGATACTGGATTCCCTTGCGGAGCTTTACTCCCTGTTACAAGAGGAAGATATGTGGGCTGGTCTGTGGCAGAAGCGGTGCAAGTACTCGGAGACGGCGACCGCAATTGCTTACGAGCAGCACGGGTTCTTTGAACAGGTAAACCTCAGACCACAGACGGTCTTGGGTGTGTAATGAGAGGTCATTTATAACGGTTCTTTAATAAAATGGCCTCAAGTCGGAGTTCACGTTCTGTTTTTTTGAGATGGAGTCTTGCTCTGTCGCCCAGGCTGGAGTTCAGTGGTACAATCTCAGCTCACTGCAACCTCCACCTCACAGGTTCAAGCGATTCTCCTGCCTCAGCCTCCCAAGTAGCTGGGATTATAGGCGCCCACCACCATGCCCGGCTAATTTTTGTTTTTTTAGTAGAGACAGGGTTTTGCCATGTTGGCCGTGCTGGTCTCGAACTCCTGACCTCAGGCGATCCGCCCACCTAAGCCTCCCAAAGTGCTAGGATTACAGGTATGAGCCACCACGCCTGGCCCAGAGTTCACATTTAAATACATTTTAAAGCATTTCAGTCCCGCACGTAAAGGCCCTGTGACTGAAGTCTGCATTTAAGGGACGCCTACGTGTATGACACAAGCTAAAGCACAGTCCTAAGAGGTCCTTTGCATTTGATGCCAACATGGATGCTTTTTCTCTCCCATTGTTGGTTCTGTTGGAAGCGATAGGTTTTGTTTTTGCTTAAGTTTTACTCCCCGTGTCTGCCCTTCAGTGTGGCGCGGGCCACTGTTTCAGGGTGCGATTCCTAGCACTGTGTAGGGTGCTGTGCCGTGGAAGCTCCAGAAGCAGATGTGGCCTTGTGGCTCCTGCTCCGATCACTAAAGGATGGAGAAATTAATCCCACGTCTGGACAGCCTCCCCTTCTTCCATTCTGTTCAGGGAATCCCACCCTCTTCTGTCTCTGAACAGAGAGCTGTGGGTGTTTAGTGCTCCTGGAGAAGAGCTCCATGTGCTCCCAGGTGTGTGATTCAGCCTGCTCTCGACAACTGGGCCCTGGCGGTGAAAAGGTTGTGTTCTTAGCCAGGTGCAGGCATGCACCTGTAGCCCAGCCACTCAGGGAGGCTGAGGCAGGAGGGTCCCTTAAGCCCAGGAATTAGGAGTTTGAGTCCAGCTTTGGCAACATAGCAAAACCTCATCTCAAAAAAGTTCTCTAAGTTTTAAATTTAAAAAGAAAGAAAAGGTGTGTTTCTAGTTAAACAGTGGTTTAAAAGCATTAACTTTTTTTTAGGCACAAGAATCCTATGAAAAGGCAATGGATAAAGCCAAAAAAGAACATGAGAGGAGTAATGCCTCCCCTGCTATTTTCCCCGAATACCAGCTCTGGGAAGACCACTGGATTCGGTAAGCCAAACACAGTGCTTGACGTGTACATGAATCAGTTGAGGGAACCGGGGAAAAATACCTGACTTTTTCTTGTAATGAGTGTTTTTTAAAGAGAGCTTTGCTACTTTGTGGCCTTGTAAAGAACAAACAGAAACCCAAGACCAGCATTTAAAGCCTTGAGTAATTAAACAGGTCGACTGGAGAAGCAGTAAACTGTCCCTGGCTCCAGTGCTCTGGGCCCTCTGCTGAATAGCAAGTGGTTTGTGGCATCCAGGGTGGGCAGGGGCTCACCCCGCAACGGAACACACCTCCATGTCCTACAGAAGTCCACTCTTGCTGTGCTGTTCTTCTGTAGAATGGAAATTTGCCATAAAACCCTATCCCTGCCTCTGTGAATGCCTGAGTGTTCTGGTGACTGAGCTTTTGCTCTTGGACATGTGGTCTTGCAGATGCTCCAAGGAGTTGAACCAGTGGGAAGCCCTGACGGAGTACGGCCAGTCCAAAGGCCACATCAACCCCTACCTCGTCCTGGAGTGCGCCTGGCGGGTGTCCAACTGGACTGCCATGAAGGAGGCGCTGGTGCAGGTGAGACGCCCCGGGGGCATCCCCGCAGCTACCTGGGTCCCTTTTCCTGCAGCTGCAGGGGTCTCTTGGGAGATTTCCTGTAGAACAAGCATTTTGGCAGTGGAAAGATAGCTTTTGGGAAAGAAAGGTTCCTTTTGATTGCCTCAGTCTAACACCTTTCCTGAATTTGAGTAATGTCACTTTTTTACAAAATGAGAAATTGAAGATTAGAAATAGTTACAAACTATTAACTAGAGGATGGAATCGAGCCCAGGTGTTGACTTCTGGTTTGGGACCTGGGAAATGACTCATTGGATGCAGGGAGTTTGTGTTCCTTTGGGAAATAACCAGTCATTTATGTCAGTAAAAATACATTCTTCCCTCAGTATCCAGGACCCCCCCGCAGACACCAAAATCCATAGACACTCAAGTCCCTGATATAAAATGGTGTAGTATTTGCATGTAATCTCTGCACAGCTGCCTGGGTTCCTTAAATCCTGTCTAGGTTATTTACAGTACCTAATACGATGTAATTGCTACATTCACAGTTGTTTTGTTACACTGTAGTTTTTAGGGAATGACAAGAAAAAGCTCTGTACATGCTTAATACAGATGCAATTTTTTTTCCCCGAATATTTTCTATCCACAGTTGGTCGAATCCACACATATGGAGGACCAGTTGTATATATTTTGCTGTCAATGCATTTACGATTGCTTATTCTTTCTTTATTCTGACAAAACATAAAACTGAATAAGTATTTGTAGCTCACCTTAATGTTCCCTTCTTTCTCCTTCCCAAAGTTTCCCTTAGCTGGATATATGCAGCGTCACACCATCCTGAGGTCTCACAGATGCGTTTCTTCTTTCATAGATTCTTGTCATTTTATAAAAATTGTAAGTTACTCACTGCTTAGAAAAAAACTCAAATATGTGAGTAAACATCCAGGATAATCTGCACTAAATTCAAGTAGTCTTGAAAAGGATTCAGCAAATTACTTTTGTCTTTGTTTCTGTGCTTCCTAGGGTAGTTGCTTGGTTTGATTTAGTAAGGGGTTTAGCTTTTTTCCAGTGGGGAAAATAGAAGAGACACCGTTGTTCTTAGTGTAACTGAGGGTAGGTGTTGTAATTGGCAAAAATCTATCTCACCTGGTGTTGGAGTCCAGCCCGTGTGATGTTGGTGCCAGCGTGGCGGGTAATGTTGGAAGCTGCTGTAGTCTTCTTTGCCTTCCTGAATTTCTTCATCGGTGGGTTATTGAGAACTGAGAGGCATCATGAATGTGAAAGGTCCGTGGAAGAGTAAGATGTCAAAAACAAGCCACGGTGTCATATAATTGCGGGGTGGTGTCATTATTACCATTATTGCATGTAGTCCTTGGGACAGATACCATCATGGCGCTAACTTTTGTTGCTTTTTTTATTTTCATTTATTTTTTTGTGACAGAGTCTTGCTCTGTCGCCCAGGCTGGAGTACAGTGGTGCGATCTCGGCTCACTACAAGCTCCGCCTCCTGGGTTCACGCCATTCTCCTGCCGCAGCCTCCCAAGTATCTGAGATTACAGGCGCCCACCACCATGCCTGGCAAGTTTTTTGTATTTTTTTAGTAGAGACGGAGTTTCACCACGTTAGCCAGGATGGTCTCGATCTCCGGACCTTGTGATCCGCCCGCCTCGGCCTCCCAAAGTGCTGGGATTACAGGTGTGAGCCATCGCGCCTGGCCAATGTGTGTAGCTTTTATTGTTACTTTCCAAAGAGGAATGTTTATTCATCTTGCTACAGCGATTCCTGTAAACATCCATCACAGAGATGTCCTTCCATCTTTCTTATCACAAAGATACTATGTTTGGAAACTTTCATGAAAAAAAATTTTTTAATATTTTTAAATGCTTGGTAAGAGATTAACAAAACGTGAGACGTTCCAGTGCTTTCTTCAGAAGGTAGTGGGCAAAAAAAAAAAGGGCCTTCCGGGCAGAAAGGAACACGTGGTCTCCACCTGGGCTGAGGAGCGGTTGGCCCAGGTTCATCAGCTGCTCCACTGAACTGACGCTGGAGTGTGGGAAATCTGGGGAACATTTTATAGTAGACGAAAAAGTGTGGCTTTAAAATGACAGTAAAATTTGCACATATTCCCTCATGTTCATGTAAACCTGAATTAATACCTATACCATTCAATTTCCCAGGATAACCTTATGAATTGGAAGCAATTCAAAATTACACTCACGTGGCCAGGCGTGGTGGCTCACGCCTGTGATCCCAACACTTTGGGAGGCCAAGGCAGGCAGATCACTTGAGCCCAGGAGTTTGAGACCAGCCTGGGTAACATAGGAAGACCCCTGTCCCTACAAAAAAATAAACAAAAATTAACCTGGTGTGATGGTACATGCCTGTAGTTCCAGCTGCTTGGGAGACTGAGGCAGGAGGATCACTTGAGCCCTGGAGCGGCTGTAGTGAGCTATGAGCATGACATTGCACTCTAGCCTGGATGACAGAGTGGGACCCTGTCTCAAAAAAAAGTAAAATTACACTGATATTTATCATACTGGAGATTAATATATATTTAACAGTTTAAAATGTGGTGACTGGCCAGGCTCGTGGCTCATCCCTGTAATCCCAGCACTTTGGGAGGCCACGGCAGGCGGATCACCTGAGGTCAGGAGTTCGAGACCAGCCCGACCAACATGGTGAAACCCATCTCTACTAAAAGCACAAAAAATTAGCAGGGCATGGTGGCACACGCCTGTAATCCCAGCTGCTCGGGAGGCTGAGGCAGGAGAATAGCTTGAACCTGGGATGCGGAGGTTTCAGTGAGCCGAGGTTGCACCACTGCACTCCAGCCTGGGCAACAGAGCAAGATTCTGTCTCAAAAAAAAAAAAATGCCGGCTACACAGAGTGTGTGATTTTTCATCTGATCTGTCATAACAGCATTGATCAGTCTCTCTTCTTTGGAACAACTAATGACCTTAAAGCCAGGAGCCTGTGGTGTGCTTTCATAGCTGGAGAGATTGGCCGCTCACGGAATTTAGAAAGGGAGAGTATCCAGGAAAGACTGTAAATGCATGACTTGTCTATTTATAGCCTAATTTCTGTTTATTGCCTTGCATAACTAGTGGCAAAAAAAAAATGATTTTTTTTCCTGTTTGACCCTTTACACTGAGGGAAAGAAGGCCCCTCACTTCCTCTGTCGTGTTCTTTCACTGTCAGGTGGAAGTGAGCTGTCCGAAGGAGATGGCCTGGAAGGTGAACATGTACCGCGGATACCTGGCCATCTGCCACCCCGAGGAACAGCAGCTCAGCTTCATCGAGCGCCTGGTGGAGATGGCCAGCAGCCTGGCCATCCGTGAGTGGCGGCGGCTGCCCCATGTGGTGTCCCACGTGCACACGCCTCTCCTGCAGGTGCGTGCAGCACCCCAACGCGAGCACGGGCCTGTGGCCAGGTGCAGCCAAGCACCGGTGTCCAGGCTTAGTCTGCAGACTGCGCTGGACGGCAGGGATGAAACTCCTTCCCCTTGTCTTGTCCTCTCCCACTTAACACTCGTCCTCATGAAAGGAAGGCCACAGTTAAAACGTTGAGGAAAAATGTTAGAGCTTCTGCGGGATTGAAGACATCCTCACCAGTGATTCTGGTTTCAAATTTTGCCTTAGGGACTGTTTTCAGTACCCACTCTGCCGTCCTCAGTTATAGACCCTGTTGCTCTGTTTTCAGCAAGCTTTTGGCGGGAGCTGTGGGTACAGGGTTAGGAAATGCTTTCCGAAATCTGAATGTAATAAGTTAAACTTGAAATATAAACAGAAAGCACAGATTCTTCTAGGCAACTTAAAAAATTACTGTCAACCAAGATACAGAGTACTGAACTAGGTGCTATGTTTAGGAGATTAAAAAACATTTTAAAACAATAGATTCTGCCTCAAAGGTGCATTGAACCGGAGACAGCAGGCATAGCCGTAGAAGCAAATTTACAGCTGGAGGGAGACTGATTCAGAGCCATGCCAATCAGACGGAAAATCAGGATAACAAAGATCAAGAGAAGGGAGATAATCGTGTGTGCCATAGAAACCAGGGACAGAATTTGGATAGGCTGAGGATTGTGGCCAGGGCCTTCCAGGTGAGAAGGTGGCATCAGAAGTTTGGTGCCAACAGTGCATCTGGAATTTAAGGGTAGTCAACCTCCCGGTCTTGTAGGGCAGTGACTTAAAACGTGTTTACATTTCATGCGTCCAAAGAGGTCAGGAGAACCACGTTTGCAGGTGCTTAGTATGGCTGTGGGGTTTAGCAGGCACGTTGAGAAAAGGCACGTCTGCAGCGAGGATACCAGGCTATCCCGACCTCAGGCGTTGCTGGACAAAGAGCTGGGCAGGGAGGGTGGCAAAGGGCATGGACAGCAGGAAGAGGAGTTTTGAGGACTGCCCATTAGCGAGGTTTGGTGTCTATACCATCGTTCTCCCAGTATCCTGTCTCTCAGGAGCCACAGGCTGAGGTTTTAAAATTGGAGATGCCATAAGGAAAGTAGCGTTTGGGGTGAACAGGAAATGAAATGTGGATCTCAGGTGTCTGTGTGTAAACGAGAGTGCTTCCTTTGGTAATCGCACCATAAGATCTTTGCGATAATCAGGCCGCCAGTGGACTCTGGTGTGTTTTTCCCGATTGATCTTTGCTGATGTTTACTATGGAATCTCTTATGCTGGTCCCATCAGGCAGCCCAGCAAATCATTGAACTCCAGGAAGCTGCACAGATCAACGCAGGCTTACAGCCGACCAACCTGGGGAGGAACAACAGCCTGCACGACATGAAGACGGTGGTGAAGACCTGGAGGAACCGGCTGCCCATCGTGTCTGACGACTTGTCCCACTGGAGCAGCATCTTCATGTGGAGGCAGCATCATTACCAGGGTAAACCGACCTGGTCCGGCATGCATTCATCATGTAATTTTCCAGACGCCCCACGGTTCTGGTTTCGTCTCTGTGTTTTGGCTTGTTTTTTTTCTCTCAGGTTTTCTATTTTTGGGTAGGTATGACAGGTCGGGGTGGTAATGGTGTGGGGAAAGATGAAGGTGGTAGAAGAAGTAAAGTTTTGTTTTTTGTTTCTGCACCTGTTACATTTTTCTACTTGGGGCAGAATCGTGCAGGCGGGGGGTGATCAATGCTCTGAGCCATGGCACTCTGCGTTGAAGCTCCCATCCCAGGACAAGCTGTGCTCAGGTGGCTCTGTGTGGCCTTTGCTGGTTTTCGTGGTCCCCCTCTTATCCCCTAAACCTGTCAGGCGTCCACGTGTTTAGAGCAGCCTTTGTCATTTTATGATTTGGTTAGCCAAGATGGTAACACTCGACTCAAGAATTAGCACCTTTTAGAAGTTGCTTATGGCATAAAATACAAAGTAACGAGGGTTTAGTCACACAGCTCCCCATTTTCATAAGCCATGTGTGTGTGTGTTTCATTTTTTATTTAAGCCTTGTTGTGAAGTGCTTTGAAAGAGGATCTGTGTGGTCTGATGATTCCTTTCTTTGCCCTCTAGCGATTGTAACTGCCTATGAGAATAGCTCTCAGCATGATCCCAGTTCAAATAACGCTATGCTTGGGGTTCACGCATCAGCTTCAGCAATCATCCAGTACGGAAAAATCGCCCGGAAACAAGGACTGGTCAATGTAGCTCTGGATATATTAAGTCGGATTCATACTATTCCAACTGTTCCTATCGTGGATTGCTTCCAGAAGATTAGACAGCAAGTTAAATGCTACCTCCAGCTGGCAGGCGTCATGGGCAAAAACGAGTGCATGCAGGTGCGGACAGGACGCTTGAAGAATGAGGCCGGGTAGAGAATGAGGCCGGGTGGGGAATGAGGCCAGGTGGGGACTCTTGGTTCAGAATATAAGGAAGGCGGATTCGAACTCTCTATAAATACAGCCTCAGTAAGGGGAGAACAGTCCTTCCAAAACACAAAAGGGAAGGGAAGCTACTTGACTGAATTACAAGACTTACAATCTTGTAAGAAATACAGTCTTGTAAGAATTACAGTCTCTTGTGGTCTCTGTCCTACCATATACTTAGTTAATGTGTTTAAGGAAAGAAAAAAATCTCATACTACAGAATTAGAGGATCTAAGATAGATTTTGACTATGTTCAGAGGAATCTTAAGAACAATGAAACCAACTAGAACTATAAAGCTTTGGAGAAAATAAGACCCCTAAGTATTTAGGATCAAATACTTAAAGTTTAGCATTAGTGATTCAGTTTAAATTCTGAACGTCAATCAGTAAATATTCATGGTAGGCAAATCTGTTGTCAATTTAAAGTACATTGGTCAATGACTCATAGACTTACTGCCTAGATTAATACTTTATGAAGTTTTCATATTGTTTGGAAATTTCAAGAACTTTTTTTCTGCTCATTTTTTTTGAACAGGGCCTTGAAGTTATTGAATCTACAAATTTAAAATACTTCACAAAAGAGATGACAGCCGAATTTTATGCACTGAAGGGAATGTTCTTGGCTCAGATCAACAAGTATGTATGTTATATTGAAAGAGGATAATAGAAAAAATGCGTCAGATTATTTAAATAGTTATTTATAACCTGAAGCCAATGTGAAGCTCAAGCTAGAAATGGGTATGATTTGGTGACAGTCATTAGATAGGATTTTTTAGGTATTGCACCTCTGCAAAGAGAGTAACTTGCAACAAATCGATAAAAAGCCTATTTAAAAGCATTTCTCAAATGAGCTACTGGATCACAGAACTGATAAAATGGATTCATTTCCCCATTTCCTCAGCCTGCCATTTACAGAGCTGGTTCCTTTTGTGGAGATGATTCTTGCCTTAGACCAGGGGTCAGTAAAGGATGGCCTGGGGGCAACATCCAGCCACTGCCCTGTTTTTGTCAATGAAGTGTTGTTGGAATACATCCCTCCCCACCGATGTTGTCTGTGACTGCTTTCACCCAACTGCAGAGTTGAGGAGTTGTGATAGGAATTGTGTGGTCTTTAGCACCTAAACCATTCGCTGTCTGGCCCATCACAGAAAAGGTTGCCAAACCCTGGTTTAGAGAAGTAAATGTCAGAGGAGATTTTGTAAATAGCATGCAAATGAAGTAGACTCACAAGATGCTGCTTGTTGCCTTGTGTAGGCTCCAGTGCCTGCTTTTCACATCTTCAATCTATGGGGCTTGCATGTTTAGCTTATTTTTAAATTAGGAAGCAGTTTTGTCAACATGAAAAGGTTTTATCTTTTTGTGTAATGTTTTAAATTCATATGACAGACACAACCATTCAAAAGTGTACAATTTAGTGGGTTTTAGTATATTTACAGTGTTGCACAACCACCACCACTAGCTAATTCTAGAATATTTCCATCATCCTCAAAGTAAATCCTGAATCTGTTTGCTGTCACTCTCCTTTCTCCCCTCCCCCTTTCTCCTGACAACTGTTAATCTATTTCTGCCTCTATGGATTTGCTTATTCTGAACATTAATATAAATAGAAGCATACACTATGTGGCCTTCTGTGACTGTCTTCTTTCACTTAGTAGGATGTTTTCAAACTTCATCCATGTGCTGTCATGTATCAGTAACCCGTTCCTTTTCATCGCTGAGTAATATTCCATTGGATATCCATACATTTTGTTTGTCCATTCAGCAGTTGATGGACATGTGGGTTGTTTCTACTTTTTAGCTACATGAGTGATGCTGGTGTAAACACTGAATACGTGTCTTTGTGTGAGCATGTTTGAGTTCTCTTGGGTATATACCTGGGGGCAGAATATCTGGGTCATATTGTACTTTTCTGTTTATCTTTTTGAGATATTGTCAGTCTTCCACAGTTGGCTGTACCATTTTGCATTCCCACCAGCAGTGTTTAAGGTTTCTAATTTCTTCACATCCTCACCAGCACTTGTTATTTTCTTATTATGTATCTGATTATAGCCATCCTAATGAGTATAAAATATATTTCATTGTGGTTTTGAATTGCATTTTCCTAATGACTGATGACAGTGAGCTTCTTTTCTTGGTTTTTATTGTTGGTTTGGAATTCTTTATATGTCTGGATAAAAGTCTCTTTCAGATATATGATTTCCAAGTATTTTGTCACATTCTGTGGGCTGTCTTTTCACTTTTTTGATAGTGTTCTTTAATGTGCAAGTTTTTAATTTTGATGAAGTACAATTTATATGTTTTTTTCTTTTGTTGCTCATACTTTTCACATCTTCTAAGAAACCATACCGTAATCCAGGATCAGAAGCATTTATTCTTATGTTTTCTTCTAAGCGTTTTATAGATTTAGCTTTTACGTTTGGGTCTCTGATCCATTTTGAATAATTTTTTTATGTGGTGTGAGTTAGGGGTCCATATTTATTATGCTGCATGTGGATATACTGTTGTCCCAGCACCATTTGCTGAAAAGTCTAGTCTTTCTCCATTGAATGGTCTTGACACCCTTGTCAAAAATCAGTTGAGGCCAGGCCCAGTGGCTCACACCTGTAATCCTAGCACTTTGGGAAGCTGCGGTGGGAGGATCATTTGAGCCCAGGAGTTGGAGACCAGCCTGGACAATATAGTGGAGACCCCCATTTCCAAAACCCGAAAAACAAAAATCAGTTGACCATTTTTTGTGGGCTTATTTCTGGACTCTCACTTCTATTCCATTGATCTATATAGAGTCTCTTATATTTCCATATGAATTTTAGGTTATTTTCATGTATTTCTGCCAAAACAGTTGGAATTACGATAGAGATTGCATTGAATCTGTAGATCAGTTTGTGAGTATTTTGCCAACTTAAGCAAGTTTTCCAGTGTGTAAACACAAGATGTCTTTCCACTAGTTTAGGTCTTCTTTAGTTTAATTCAACAATGTTTTATAGATTTTAGTGTACAAGTCTTGCACTTATGTTAAATTTATCCCTCAATATTGTCACGTGAATGGAGCCGTTTGCTTCATTTTCACATTGCTCATTGCTAACATTTGGAAATACCAGGGTTTTGTATATCAATCTTAGATTTCTCAACCTTGCTGAGTTTATTTGCTCTAATAGCTTTTTGGGGATTCTTCTTTTCTGTATATAAGATCCTGTCAACTGCAGGTAGAGATGGACTTACATCTTCTATTCCAGTAAAGATGCATTTTATTTCTTTTTCTTCCCAATTGCCCTGACTAGAACCTTAAGTACAGTGCTGAATTAAAAAGACAAGATCCTTGTCTTTTTCTTGCTCTTGGGGAAAGCCATTCAGTCTTTCAGCCTTGAGTATGATGTTAGCTGTGGGTGTTTTGTAGATGTCTTTTATAAGCTTGAGGAATTTCCCTTCTGTTCTAAGTTTGCTGGGTATTTTTATCGTGAGAGGATGTTGGATTTTTTTCAAATGGCTTTTTCTCTGTCCTCTGAGATGATTGTGGTTTTTTTTCCTCCATTCTTTTAATGTCATATATCACATTGATTGGTTTTATTTATATTGACTTTTCTGTTTCCCATGTTGAACCACCCTTATTGCTGGGATAAATCCCACTTGGTCATGACAGATAATCCTTTTGATCCACTGCTGGAGTTGGGTTGCTCATTTTTGTTGAGGATGTTTGCATCTGTATCATAAAGCACATGGGTCTGAAGTTCCCTTGCTATGTCTGGTACATTGCTGGTGTCATAGTGAAGCAGTGTAACTGCCGTGGAAACAGTTTGATGGTTCCACAAAAAGTAAGCATAGAGTTCCCACGTGACCAGCATTTCCACTCCCTGGTGTACACCCAGAAGTGTTGAAACAAACAGATACCTGTTTGGGAATGTTTGTAGCAGGACTATTTGCAGTAACCAAGATGTGGAAACAACACGAATGAACAGATAAACAAAATGTTTATGGTGTATATATACAATGGAATGTCATTCACTTGTTAAAGAGAATGAAGTACCGACACAGGCTTCAACATGAATAAACCTTGAAAACACTATGCCAGATTCAAAAGATCACATGATGTATGATTCAGTTTATATGAAATGTGCAGAACCGGTCAGTCCACAGAGACAGAAGGCAGACTGCAGGTTCCCAGGGGCTGGAGTGGGAGGGGCTCAGAGTGACCGTTTATGGGGCGGTTGCACAACGTTTCAAATGGACCAAGTGCCCTGCAGTGTTCATTTTATACTGGTCAATTTCAGGTTACGTGAAGCTCGCTTCAATTGAAAACCGTATGCATTTCGGTTTTCTGTCTCCTGACAGGTCCGAGGAGGCAAACAAAGCCTTCTCTGCAGCCGTGCAGATGCACGATGTGCTGGTGAAAGCCTGGGCCATGTGGGGTGACTACCTGGAGAACATCTTCGTGAAGGAGCGGCAGTTGCACCTGGGCGTGTCTGCCATCACCTGCTACCTGCACGCCTGCCGGCATCAAAACGAGAGCAAATCGAGGAAATACTTAGCCAAGGTGAGACCGAAAAAATGAGCTTTGACCAAAGGTCATTGGTCGCCTTCAGATATGGACCGAAATTTAGCTACAATTCACTTATCCATGCCAGGTGTGAGGCATGATTTCATGCCTTAACTCTTAATCCTCATTACTCTTTGAAGCGTCTTTCACAGTCTGTTTTAAAGGTGAGAAAACTGAGGCCTGGACACTCTTAGGGCCCCAGAACTTCCAAGTGGCAAAGCCCCGCCTAGAGCCCGAGTCTAGCGCTGCCTGTGGGAGCTCACACGGAACAGAGGGCTGAGGAGGGGATGTGGAGCTAGAGCTTCCCTCCTGGACGCCCATTAGGTTGTCATCCCTCCCCTGCAAGGCCACTGTCAGCACAGCCACAGAGCCGGCATGCTGGGGTGGTTATGGGTTTCTCTCTGCATGGTTCCGCCCGCAGCAGCCCCGTGGGTGTCGCCCACGTGCTCACTGCACTTGACATTCAGGTTCCTCCTTCATGTGGCTTCCTGTCTTCCCCCAAGAAGCAGACAGATAAAACCCAGAATTAATTCCAGCAGGAAACCCAAGAATAAATTGTTCCCTTTCCTATTTTGTTCATTAAAGGTTTGGATTTTTTAGAATTCCTTGATTTAACGTAAAAATTTGAAATGTACACCAGCACATGGCGGTTAAAGCCGATTACAGAGACAGCTACATGCGCTGCCTCAGTGCCTGACTCCTGGTTGCTTACACCCAGATGTAATTGTTTCCGTCATCCATGGACACCTGGCTGCCAGCCTGTGGCCTCCCTGATGCCAGGGTGATGAGCATCTGAGAGTTTTAGCAAAAGTTCATTGTGTTTGGATGAGATCATGAGTGTGAGTTAATGGGTGGGCAGGCCCCAGGCATCTGCCTATTGCTGTCTTACGCTTAGTCACTGTTCACTGCTAGCCAGTGGATTAGATCAGTGAGTAATTGTCATTAAAAGGGTGGGCACGGTGGCTCACGCCTGTAATCCCAGCATTTTGGGAGGCCGAGGTGGGTGGATCACTTGATGTCAGGAGTTCGAGACCAGCCTGGCCAACATGACAAAACCCTATCTCTACTAAAAATACAAAAGTTAGCCAGGCGTGGTGGGTATGCACCTGTAATCCCAGCTACTGGGGAGGCTGAGGCAGGAGAATCGCTTGAACCCGGGAGGTGGAGGTTGCAGTGAGCCAAAATTGCACCACGGCACTCTAGCCTGGGTGACAAAGCAAGACTGTCTCAATAACAAAACAAAAAAACTAAAGAGAAAATCTGTATTTAAATTATAGGTTATATATACTGTAAGATTTATGTTAAGTTTAGCAATAATGTTGGCCCTCTTACAGATATTTTTCTTACATGGCCAGTGAAGCCGCTTTTTACAGTGTTGTAATGTTGGGGAAAAAGTCTCTTGCTTGAGGGCTTCAGAATTGTCATTCAACTCTAGAATTTCTCCTTCTGTCTCAGGTGCTGTGGCTTTTGAGTTTTGATGATGACAAAAACACTTTGGCAGATGCCGTCGACAAGTACTGCATTGGTGTGCCACCCATCCAGTGGCTGGCCTGGATCCCACAGCTGCTCACCTGCCTGGTCGGCTCGGAGGGAAAGCTGCTCTTGAATCTCATTAGCCAGGTGGGAAGAGCAGAGTGGCCTTGTTCACATGCACAAAACGTTGTGTCTCCATTTTGCGTTCGGTTTTTTCCCAGAAAGTAAATTTGAGTGCTCAAAGTATTAAAAATAAGTTAAAGAGCTGGAAAGATGTAATCATCTAAATATTACTTAATATAAAGCATAATTAAAAGTTATTAAAGAATATATCAGTTGAAATGAAATAGCTGATAAAGCAGTTCAGTGTTCAAATTGTAATTTCTTAAATATTTTCCCATATATAATGCAAGTAAAATAAAATTGTACTATAATGTACAATTGCCAGTGGATACCCTGAGAATGACAGCAAGCCCTGAATCTGATGGGTAGTTTTCCTCTGATTTTTTTGTCATGTGCTGGGAGCTCTTCAGAGCTGCCCTTAAACTAAAACATTCCCGTGATTGTGGCTGTTGTCCTTTTGACAGTTGAACTGCGTCATAAGGAACCCACGGTTTTCGAGGGCAGTGGGGCGGGGCTGGGGAAGCAGACAGGCCAGGGCCCTCTGGAAAGGCTCTTGTAACCATCTCTTGAGAATGGTTCCAGGATGTCCCTCTCCCGTGAAACGATCCAGGCATAGAAGGAGGACCAGAAATGGCATAAGCGTGGCCGCAGTGAGGTTTGGGACACAGCGCCTTCGTGCTTGCTTTTGTAAAATTCATGAAGTGCCACAGGAGTCTGCGAAGGTCTTTAAGAAGGAACTGGGCCCATGCTCTGCCCACCCATTCTTCTGGCTCCTTCCTGCAAGCACCACCTGTGCTGTGTGGGACCTGAACAATGCCCTGATTTTCGTTGAGGAAGCAGCTGTGTTTTTGAGTCCCGGCATTCTGTGTAGTGCTTACCCTCAGGGTGCAGATCCGACCTACTTGGTCTCATCACTCGTGGAACATCTCAGGTTCAAGAGCAGCTGCCTGTGCCTGTGACAGCTTAGATGTTATTCCTTCCTTCATTTCGTGGGCACATTCTGAAGGATCCAAGTGACATGGTACTATCCTGTCAGCCACAAAAGTCCAGTTCAATAAAACGGGAGTTTCTTAACTGAAACGGACATCCCTCCATCTCCTCCCAGCTGCAGTTATGCAGAATAAAGTTATTTGATAATGGAATTAGTTCACAATCCACAGTGAATTGTGCCTGACAGAAAGATTAGCTGGTATTTGTATGTTTTTTTATTTGCTTCAGTGAGATCTGGGGACACGTGTGTTTTGCCTCCCTCAGGTTTAGTGCCTGGAAGGAAAGCGTGGTTTCCCTGTCACAGTTCCTGGGTGGAGTTGATGAAATGCATGTGTTGATGTGTCTTGGCTCTTTTAAAGTGAAGTAAACATTTTGCCTGATGTTGAACTTGGCCTTGTGCGTCAGATCAGTGCTGTAGTATTTGCTTTCTTGTTCCAAAGGCAGATCAGACACCTGTTTCTGACTTGACATTGGTTGTTTTCAGTACAAATTATCCAGACCTCAGTGGAGAGCAGCACTATTTATGATGTCTTGTCTCTGAGCAGGTTGGACGCGTGTATCCCCAAGCGGTCTACTTTCCCATCCGGACCCTATACCTGACCCTGAAAATAGAACAGCGGGAACGCTACAAGAGCGGTACGTCTCGGGTGGGGCCGGCAGGCCAGGCCAGGAAGGGCTTATTCCAGGGGGTGCCCCACATCCAGACAGACCACCGCGGCCACCCCCTGCCCTGCAGCTCACTCCTAGCCATGGCCAGTCTCTCCTCAGTGGGCAGCACTGTAAGGCAGGAAGCAAAGCCTGATCTGAGTAGTCTCTCTTTTGCCAGGATGTAACAGGCGTTCATTTATCCCAGTGATTTGATCTATAGGTAGAGAAAATGTGTGAAATTTTCAGCTTCAGAAAATTGTAAAGTTTACCTTCCTCCTTAGTAGTAAGTGCATCCCGATACACAGCACAGATGCCAGGTGCCGTGTGTGTGTGTGTGTGTGTGTGTAAGTTATGAGGAGTATCTCCAGCTGTGAGAAGAATCAGCGTTGAAGTCAGTCTTACCAGATGTTGGTGAAATCTCACTCACAGTGTAAGACTTTTAATCCATATTGAATAGCCCTTGTATGCAAAGCAGCAACTGATTTGATGGCTTCAGGTACCCTCCAACCACGGTACTTTAACAAGAGGACTGTTCACTGCCCCTTATTTTCAGTGCTGAATCTCCTAAGGGCCATGGACCGTGCTTGGTTGGCGAGAGGCGGTGGATGAGGGCTGCATGGCACTTTTCAGCTCTAACCTCTGGAGAGTCAGTCTCCCTAGGTGGCTTCATGTCTTGGTCATTTGGAAATTAAGGTTTTTTAGTTTTAAGACTAAGTGTAGAGAGGTAAATTCAGAAAAAAATTGTCATTAAGGGCTCTGCAGTGTATCTCACAGGGAAAAATGACCATATTTTTCAAAAGCAGTATTTTGCAATTGGCTTGGCTTTCCAAACCAGTTTCCTATTAACTGCTTTTAGATCTCTGAGTTTATAGTAGCAAGGAACGTGTAACATACTGTGAGATAGTTTCCTAAACATTTACGTTTACGATGATCAGACCTAACAGAAACATTAAAAGGAGTGCTCAGGGAACCGTTGTGCGCCCTTACCTGGACTCACCAGGTGGCGTGTTGTCACAGCTGCGTCCTTTGAAACACATACATGGGTTTCTTTAATGGAACGGATTGAAGCCACGTTGTAGACAACTGCGCTGTCCCTCCCTGCGTCCCTCAGCGCACCTGCGCCTATAACCAAGGCCTTCTCCCACGTGGTCCCTGGGGAAGCGGTCTTGTGAGGATTCACACGCCGGCAGGAACCAGCGCTCCTTTGGCCCATGGGTCCTGCAGCGCTCCGAGCCCTGGCGTCTGTCGGTTTTGCGCTGACACTGGCGTTGTGTGTGTTGCTCTCAGATTCTGGACAGCAGCAGCCAAGTTCAGTGGGTAACCAGTCCCATTCTGCATCAGATCCAGGGCCCATAAGAGCAACAGCACCCATGTGGCGCTGCAGCCGAATCATGCACATGCAGCGAGAGCTCCACCCCACCCTTCTGTCTTCCCTGGAAGGCATCGTCGATCAGATGGTCTGGTTCAGAGAAAATTGGCATGAAGAGGTATTTGGCTCTGATCTTGCACATGATGGCTTCTTGTAGAGGGGACGTGGCATTCTGTATGCTTCTGTGGTTCTCTTCCCTTGAGGTTTAGCTGCCGGTCCTTTTATATATTTGTTGTTGAACTTAACCGTGGACCAGGCAAATAGCTATCTCTACACACTAATACAGCCTTAAAGATTCAAAGCAGAAGACATAGAAGAGGGTGGAATTGAGGAAGCTGCTTCTTGCTGTTAAAATGCTGGCTGTGCTCACTTCTCTGAGCTCATTGACCTGAGTGCCACTGTAAACCGGGTGTGAGCAGAAGTAGTGGCGTGAGTAACAGGGTTACAATTTCCAGAGATGGGAAATTGTAGGTATGTGGGGTCTTTTCAGCAGTCAGACCACTTCCTTAATAACATTGGCTTCGGCTGATGACAAAATAGTCTACGCCTCACTGCCCGGATGCTTGCCTGGTTGAGCCCCGGGGCAGCTCCTTACTGCTGTGAAGTCTCATGCGTGCACACAGACACACAGTGGGAACAGTACAGCTGCCTGAAAATACAGGGGTTTTGTGGCTAATTGCAGATGGGTGTATGATCCGAAAAAGTGGGGCTTTTCCGTTTTTGCTTTTTTAATGCTCAGGGCCCTTACTCCCCAAGGTGAAAAGTGCCTGCTCCCATGCAGCACGCACAGGTGTCCTGTTTCTTGCACATGCCGATTTCATGGCTGCTGTGTGTGGGTCCTGCTGGGCGGTGCGGAGATGACCCTGGGCTGGGAGGGCCGCACTCAACAGGCGCTTTTGGCTGCTGGTTCTGGAGTGGAGGGCTGTGTTTGTCAGTTGTCTCTGGCTCTTTTCTACCAGGTCCTCAGGCAGCTCCAACAGGGCCTGGCGAAATGTTACTCCGTGGCGTTTGAGAAAAGCGGAGCGGTGTCCGATGCTAAAATCACCCCCCACACTCTCAATTTTGTCAAGAAGTTGGTGAGCACGTTTGGGGTGGGCCTGGAGAATGTGTCCAACGTCTCGACCATGTTCTCCAGCGCAGCCTCCGAGTCTCTGGCCAGGCGGGCGCAGGCCACTGCACAAGACCCTGTCTTTCAGAAGCTGAAAGGCCAGTTCACGACGGGTAAGTCTCGATTTTCCTTCCCTTCCGTAGGGAGAATTGTGCACGCTGATTTCCTCCGGCTTTAGTGTCGAAGCTGATTAGATTGTTGGTTTTCTGATCACTGCACAGGGCACACTGGTTACACTCTGTTTACAGTGCAGACTTCAGCGTGCATAGCTGTGACCACGTGTTTTTCTCCCTAACGAGGAGTCAAGGTTTGGAGCAGGAGCTGCCAGGATCCAAGACAGGGTAGAAAGTTTCAGGCCACACTGCCCTTCTGCCATCCTGCCTTCCTGAGACCCTTCCTTCACTTGGTTTGGTGGGAATCAGTGTAGGGTGGGGTGGTGGGAGACAGTGTTAGTGTGAGCCAGTAGGAGACAGAGTCCTGGTGAGCCTGTGCGAGACGGTGCTGGGTGAGCCGGTGAGAGATGGGGTCAGGTGAGCCGCTAGGAGATGGCACCAGGTGGGATGGTGGGAGACGGTGCTAGTGAGCCAGTGGGGGACAGCGTCTGGTGGGCCGGTGGGAGACAGGGTCCGGTGGGCCCATGGAAGACCGGGTCTGGGTGAGCTCGTAGGAGATGGCGCTGGGTGAACCAGTAGGATTTATAGGGGCAGGGCCTGCGGTGATGAGCTAAGTGCAAGCTCACTGTGGATTCTGGGCATCGTGATAGGGAGATGTATTTTCAGTGCTTGTCTGTAGTTCAGGTTAATGCGTTTTCCTAGACTCACAGCTTAACTCCCGGCTCTGCCTCTTATGTTGTGATGTGAGGGAAAGGAGTCCAGTTTCCTTCAGCCCAGGTTTCTTCCTCTGTCAAATAGGGATCCTCACCCCACAGTACCCCCGCCCCCCATCTATACACCCCCGTTCCATCCTTGTGCCCCTGTTCCATCCAAGCACTCCCGTTCCATCACACACACATGTCCCATTTACGCACCCACGTCCCGTCCATGCACCCCATCCACTCACCTGTATCCTATCACCTGCATCCCATCACCGCTGTGTCCCATCTACTTACCTTGTCCCATCATACACACCTACATCCCATTTACACAACACGTGTCCCATCATACGCACCCCTGTCCCATCTACACATCCGCGTCCCATCCTCACACCCCGTCCCATCCTCGCACCCCCATCCCGTCCTCGCATCCCCATCCTGTCCTCGCATCCCCGTCCCGTCCTCGCACCCCCATCCCGTCCTCGCACCCCCGTCCCATTTACACACCCCCGTCCAGTCCACACACCCCATCCACTCACCTGCGTCCCCTCATCCTCATGTCTCATCTACACACCAACGTCCCATCTACTTACCCTCATCCCATTTACACACGCGTGTCCCCGCGTACGCACTGTGTCCCATCTACACACCCACATCACATCTGCGTACCTGCATCCCATTGTACACACCTGCGTCCACCGCCGTGCACACAGGCACAGCTGCTTCTCGTGCTGTCTGGAACACGTTGCTTCTCACTCCTCATTCAGCCTGCATCCCACTGACCTGCGGGTGCCCCAGCAGAGAAGCGCATGGCAGGCTCTCTTGCCAGGCTCTCACTGAGAGCCCCTGCTCCCAGGATGTGGCTTCGGCTGCCTGAGTAACTCCCCAAGCCTTCACCTCTCGAATGTCAGCACATGAGTGGTTGTTGTGTGAAAACAAGATTTGTCTGGTACAGTTTCCCAGAGGTGAAAGAAACATTGAATCATTCACATTTAAAAGCTTAATTACTGCGTTTTTAAAATTGTAGAACAAATCATTTTAATTTTCATTTCTTATCTTCAACTTATTCTTTAACTTCAATTTTTATACAAAGTGTCCTGAATGGAAGTCTGTGAAACTATCTGGTTAAAACAAAATACGGGCCTTCAAACCTAAGCTCAGTCACTAGCCCAGGTAAAAAGAAGAGATGCTATTCTGTGACCTTTTTCCTCTTAATAATATGTTATATGCCGAACAATTTAAGAATGTGATTAGTTGCCTTGGTGACAGAATAAATAGCAGCAACTCTGTTCTAATTTTAAGATGATTTTAAATTTTATTTTTAAGATTAAGCATCCTCTTTGACAGTCCAGAAACACAGTCTTTGCTGACTTTTGGACACACACCTAAAACAGTTAAAAGTGATTCCTCAATTTTCAATGACAAAGTACGAGAAAAGAGTGTGTTCTTGGTGGGCATGGTGGCTCACGTCTGTAATCCCAGCACTTTCGGAAGCCAAGGCGGGTGGATCACTTGAAGTCAGGAGTTCAAGACCAGCCTGGCCAACTTGGCAAAACCCCATCTCTACTAAAAATACAAAAATGAGCCTGTCATGGTGGTGTACGCCTGTAATCCCAGCTACTCGGAAGGCTTTGGTGGGAGGATCGGTTGAACCTGGGAGACGGAGGTTGCCGTGAGCCAAAATCACGCCGCTGCACTCCAACCTGGGCAACAGAGTGAGACTCTACCTCAAAAAAGAATATATTCTCAAGCTGTGGTTCAGTTTTTCTGTCCTCTTTTCCAAAGAATCTTACTTTACTACCAAGCCACTCACCTAACTGTAAGGAAAGACAGTTTTTCAAAAAGGCAACAAAATCCAGAAAAAGGAGTAGGTATCAGTCCAAAATTATCACCCAAAACACTGCTGTTGCAAAAAAGAAAAAAAAATTAGGGTAGGAAGCCAAATTCCCATAGCTTGTTAGAGAAGATCTTCAAAAAAAAAAAAAAAAAAAGTTCAGAAAGTTAAGAGTGGAACTACAGTGGTATAGACAGGCTCAAAATGCAGATAATTCAGGAACATTCAGCTTGGAAATATATTAGGCTTTCTCCTAGTCCAGCAGAGGAAATAAAATCATGTGTTGCTGGAATTAATATTAAAATTGTCCCCACACGCAGAAGGTAAAGAAAGAATGTGGAACAAACAGCAAAGACAAGTCACCATAAGTCTAGGCTCTAGTGCCCGGGAAAATGGAATCGAACTTCAATTCTTCCTGAGTCAGTATCACTAAATTCTAGATTTGACCTGAAACCAGTGGACCACATACACCACTAATAAATATCAAGTGACCCACAGTGTCTGTGGTATTAAAAAAAATTTTTTTAAATTATTGTAAGTTTCTATTCTGAAAAGCAGTAGATCAAAATGACACTGGACCTTCCAGTCGGTTACGGAGTAAATGGCTCTCTCCAAAGAGGACTGACTTGGCAGCAACCTAGGCTGGAAGGAATGTGAGTAGCATGAAGTAAATCAGGCTCTCAGTATAATTTCCATAAGGCTTTTCTACCCACCCCAGTTGTAGGCAGTAGTACTGAGGGAGCTCCAACACAGTGTCTTACGGGTGCTTCCCGGAGACAGAAGGGCTCTAAGTTTAACTCGTGACCCCTCTTCTCCTTACCTAAAGCTTGGGGAAGAAAATAAATATTTAATTGTTAACTTTTCAGAACTTTGGGCACATTATAATATGTAATATTCTGTAGTTTCATTTTCCGAACCTTTGGCTTAGAATTTTTTTCTCAACTTACATTTAAAAAAAATGTATGAATGTACCTTCACCAGATGAAAATATAAGCCATGTTCTTCCATCTCTTCTACACAGGAAGAGTGAATGAATAGTACCGTAAATATCCTGCAAGGTTACTTTGTGTACTTGACAAAAGATTATCTCCATTCACATCCAAGCATGAAACAGCCGCTTACAACACGGTGAAGTAGGGTTGGCGAAATGTTTGTAAGGGGCTGCTAGAGAGAGAACCCATGCGGACCCAACAGAAATAGTGCCTGCAGCCAGTACATGGCATCTACCTCGCTTCTCTATGGGCACTCCACAGCATGGGCATCTCTTTGAGTCCTCTTCTAGCCACTCCTTACTTTTCATCTCTTCCAGTGCCTTCTGAATCACCCTCTCACCTTACCTCTTAAATCTTGTCTTGGCCTCATATGCTTGCAGGTATTTATTTTGTAAGTCTATTAATTTCTCTGCGATCACCTTACATGGAGAGGCCGCGTGGTAGGTCAGTCTGCACAAGGTACAGAAGGCAAAGTTGCAGCTGGAGCAGATGCCCGTGGTACAGCCACACCCTGCAGGCCCCCATGGGTGGGGGCAGCACACCACATCTGCCTCCAGCTCCAAGGTGGACAGGAGGAGAAGGGCAGCCATGACGAGCAGATAAGTACTTCCACTGGCTCTTTGACCTGGCCAGGAGTGGCCACCGGAGGGCACTTTGGTTCTGAGCAGTTGAGGCGTTGAACGTGGCCATCTCCGATCTGGATTTCAAAGCAGTCCTTCAGACAGGCTTTGCAGTACACAGGCCTCACTGCAAGAAGTACATGCATTCACTGCCTAGCTTCTCACAGAAACAGGCATCGTACAGGAACAATCTACTATTAAAGCATTTTATCTGCTGAGCTTGATCAAAGTCCAAGGTTTCCTGGACCAGACTTGACAATGATTCCACATCCTGCACAGCTCTCTCATCCGCAGTTTCCTCTTGGTCTACATGAGATCCAGCAGCTCCTCCAAAATCTAGCTCTGTGATGGGAGAGGCTTGAGCTGTCCTCGGCACTTTTTCCTGAGAACCCATCTTGAGCTCAGAGGGAGAGACAATGTTCAGGTGCACCAGGGCCTCTTGCTTAAGAAACTGCATCCGGGCAGACAGGATCCTGCTGCCACTATGTTCTTCCCATAGGTTGTCTAGTGCTTGCATAGAGCAGAGAGCTGAGTTGGTGACAGCAATTTGCCACTAAGTGTGAACGAAGATGGGAAGGAGGCTGGCTAATCTGGTGGCAGTTCAGAGTTCAGCACAAGTGGAGGGAGAAAGCAAATGATATATTCAAAGCCACTATTCTGGAGGCAGTCATCTGAATTGCCACTCAAATATCTTGAAGTTCTGTGGCAAATCCAGATCGATCCTGATTTTCCACCATGGACAGGTTCTGCTTTTCCAAATTTATCTCCATCATCAATACTCTCTGGTGCCAACAGTTCACCTTCTGAGCTTCTCAGTCTTCTGACAACGTTTAATTTTATGAGGAATTGTTAATAACAATTTTTAAAAAAGGATATCAGCACCGCAGTGTGTATTTCAGTTTATTTATTTATTTTAAGATGGAGTTTTGCTCTGTCGCCCAGGCTGGAGTACAGTGGCGCGATCTCGGCTCACTGCCACCTCTGCCTCCCAGGTTCAAGCGATTCTCCTGCCTCCGCCTCCCGAGTAGCTGGGATTACAGGTGCACGTGCCACCACACCTGGCTAATTTTTGTATTTTTAGTAGAGATGGGGTTTCACCATGTTGGCCAGTCTGGTTTCGAACTCCTGATCTCAAATGAGCCACCCACTTCGACCACCCAAAGTGCTGGGATTACAGGCGTGAGCCACTGCCCGACCATGTATTTCAGTTTAGAGTGGAGGTCATGCAGATCCCATTTATTCTCCAGGTGGTGGAGATGAGACTGCCAAAGCTGGATAACAGGCCAAGATGTGGAACTCATACTACGTATACTATGGAAATCCTGCCATTTGGGGCAAATGGGAAACTGCTACCCCAGTGAGGGAAGCCCCTCCTCCACAGTGTTTCCCTCCAGTCTGGGAAACTCCTTTTCATTCTTCCAGGCCACACCGTATGCACTCCAGCCTTGGGGCCAGCCCTGGTCTGTGTTCAGCATGCCACTGCTGCCGTCTCCAGCACTCGCCACCTGGCATCTCTTGGGCAACTGACCAGCAAGTGGGGCAGGCCCCAGCCCAGCTCTCTGCCCAGCCCTGGGATCAGAGGGCGCTGTGTGGGCCTGTGAGCCATGGGCCAGCCTGGGGTGTCCTGAAGGAGCAGGGCCCACACCTTTCCCTTCCTCATCAACGCCTTGAATGGTCCTGGCCAGGCTGGGCTGGGGCCACCCTGTCTCGAGTTTGGGGGACCGAAGCCCACTGAACAGTCCTGGTCCAGCCCCCTTCTCTGCCTCGCGTGTCCAGAGCGTGGTCCCTACCATACCTTCCAGCCACCCTGCGGTGCCCTGTTTAGCGCTTTTGTAATGATCTTTACCATGTTCTTTCTTCATTGATGGGTTAAATCATAGAATAAGTGGTTCACATTTGTGATATTTAAAGAATCTTCTAAAGACTCATTGTGTCTTAGATGACACAGTTAAAGTTAATATTAAGTCACATAGAAGAAAATCTTTATCTCCTTAATCGGAAAGGACCCTCGACAGCCACAGCCATGACCAGGGTTGCATCAAGGCTGCTTGCGGCTGAAGTGTGGCGTGTGCCCTGCAGTCGCTGGAGTGGGGGCGGCGGGGGGCAGTCTGGGGGCCTGGCTCCCCATTCGTGATGTGTGGGTTGGGCTTGCCTCAGGTGAACCCACAGCTGAGGGAGGTGCTCTTTGAAAAGTAAAGGGCGAGGCCGGGCGCGGTGGCTCAAGCCTGTAATCCCAGCACTTTGGGAGGCCGAGACGGGCAGATCAGGAAGTCAGGAGATCGAGACCATCCTGGCTAACACGGTGAAACCCTGTCTCTACTAAAAAATAAAAAAAACTAGCCAGGCGAGGTGGCGGGCGCCTGTAGTCCCAGCTACTCGGGAGGCTGAGGCAGGAGAATGGCGTGAACCCGGGAGGC